TGCACTCGCACCAATCTCAGAATTTCAAACAGCACCATTTTGGATGTCCAGAAGTTCTCCTCTACCTCGCCGTTGCAAGCAGGTGTGAAGCTCCAATCTCTCGCGAAGCATCTGCTCACCTGCAGGCGCAGCGCAGAAGATCGCCTCCGAGGTTCGGTGCTCTTACTCTTTAGGCTTTAGGCTTTAGGCTTGTGAAGGGGGCTTAGGATTTTTAGGATTTAGGGTTTAGGGTGTAGGGGTTTAGGGTGTCTGGTGGTCCGGGAGAGAGCAAGAAGAGCCAGCAGACTGCGCGAGATTTATGCATCGTCCAACGACACCAGGTGCATGACATTTCAGAACCTGCCCACAAAAACCTAGTAGTTTCGCCTTGGAGAATCATGGAACCTTAAGCAATTCGTCAATCCGACAGCCTCAACTCAAGACTTTGGGCCTGGAAGACTCAGGGCGAAGTGTCGCCCCCTAAACACCAAGCCCTAGACTCTCAGAGCAATTTCTCTCTTTTCTCTGCGCCTCTCTTCTAAAAAGCTCCGTTGAGCAAACGTCCATTTCTTTCTACGGTGTGGTTTAGGGTTTAGGGTGGGGTTGCCAAAATTGCATTCAACCAACGCTCAGAGTCAAGTGGGTGTCTTGTCTTGCTCAGTTTCGCTCCCGTCACCTGCTGACAAGCCCCCCAGCCCAAAACCCCACACCCTAAACCTTCAACCCTAAACCCTAAACCCGACACCCTAAATCCCACACCCTAAACCTTCAACCCCAAACCCCACACCGAAAAAAACCTTCAATCCTAAACCCGACACCCTCGACCCTAAACCCGACACCCTCAACCCTCGACCCTAAACCCTACACCCTAAATCCTAAATCCTAAACCCTCAACCCTCGACCCCAAACCCTCAACCCAACCCTAGACCCGAAACAACAGGCTTCCGAGCCTTCTGCCCGCAGGCGACCTGGCCGTGATCTCCCGAGACTTGTCGGTTTGCAGGGGACAGGCCAGGGCTTGGGTGCTGCAGACCACAAGAAGAAAGGGTTTAGGGTTTGGGGAATAGGGTTTTAGGTTTAGGGTTTAGGTTTTAGGTTTAGGGTTTAGGTTTTAGGTTTAGGGTTTAGGTTTTAGGGTGATTTTGGGTGATGAGGGGCAGCAGCTTGCAAATAGGGAGTTTGTGATGTTTGCTATGGTGCTTCCGCAGTGAGAGACCTGACAGATTGTACTTCCCATGAGAAGCTCGCTCTCTTGGAGATGTTACAGTCTGTGTTGCGAGAGGTGCGTCATGTCGAAGACATGATGCAGGCGGGTCAGCTTGGATGGACTTGTGCCCGGACCTCGTCAACCCTGCTTTTGTTCATTTAATATTATTGCTATAATTATTTTGATTAATATTGTTACGATTATTATTATATTCATTAATTCCTAAGGGCTGTCAAGCTCCGCCTGGCAGGCGAGTAGAAAGATGCTGGGCGACTTTTCTCTGCAGCAGCGCCACCATCTCACGGCACGCTCGGTGCAGGCGTGATGCAGGGGTTGCTAGCAGACCTGCAACTTTGCAGTCTTTGCCATGCCCAACGACGTTCCGAGACTGCTGACCAACACCTATTGAAGCTGGTATGGCTTCGCCCGTGATTTGAGTGTGCTTCCCTTTCAGTTCATGTCCTGAGCAGCGCACTCCTTTTGAAACGTTCTGCTGTCCCTGGCCGGAACATCTCCTGGACGTTTCAGCTCCTTGCGACAAGTGCTGGTCTTGTCCTTTTGCACTTTGTCGGTTGGAGTCGTGGTGGTGCGTTTGTTCGTCTTGGCAAGAGTTGCAAATGGCTGGCTGGAGATCTTTGGGAATGTCGGCGTGCAAGCAAGATGCGCTTAGAGACTCTGCTGGTGAGGCGACACCCAGCCTCAGCTCAAAGTCTCCCCCCAAACCCTAAACCCCAAACCCTGTAAGCCCTAAACCCCCTAAGCCCTAGCCCTAAATTGAAGCCCCCAAGCCCGAAACCCTAAACCCGAAGCAGCGCTTCCGGAGAGCCAGGCCGCCGAAAGCCACCCTGCGGAGAAGACTTTTTCAGGAGCTTCCGGAGTGTGGCAAGGGAAATTGTAACACATTTTACTTGGGGTTGAGGGTTTGGGGTTTCGGATGTAGCGCTTAAGGGGTTTAAGGGTTTAGGGTTTGCATTTCAAGACTTTTTGGGCTAGAGTAAAGAGGGTAGATCAGGTTAGGTGGGGGTATGCGATATCGTGCTACGTTTGTCGAGTAAAGTATAGTGTCTAATTTCAGAAGATGTCATATCATATGGTACCATACCATATCCTATCTTAATATAGTGTGTCATATCTTATGGCACCATATCGCACCACATCATATCACATCATATCATCTCATACCATCTCATATCATGTCATATCATACAGTTATCGTATCATATCATATTCCAGTACTATACATGATAAACCCTAAACCCTACACCCTAAACCCTAAACACTAAATCCTAAGCCCTCTCACAAGCCTAAAGCCTAAAGCCTAAAGAGAGCCTGGGAGAGGCGGCGGTTGCGGCCCAGAAAGCTCCAGCTCCGCGGCGTTCCAGACGGAGGCGACGCCGGCGGAGGCTGGGCTTGGGATCCTCGAAGTATGATGTAATATGGTATAGTAAATTGTCTGATATTGTATGGTACAGCAAAGTATATGGTATAGTAAATGGTATGGTATAGTAAATTATATGGTATAGTAAGTTTTATGGTATAGTAAAGTATATGGTATAGTAAGTTATATGGTTTCATAAAGTACATGGTATAGTATACTATATAGTTTAGTAAATTATATGGTATAGTAAATTATCTCGTATAGTAAAGTATTTGGTATAGTAAAGTATAAGGTATAGTACATGAAGTATATGGTATAGTAAGTTAAATGGTATAGTAAGTTACATGGTATAGTAAGTTACATGGTATAGTAAAGTATATGGTATGGTAAAGTATATGGTATGGTAAAGTATATGGTATGGCAAACTATATGGTATAGCAACTTATACGATAAAGTAACTATATGGTACAGCAAAGTATATGGTATAGTAAGTTAAATGGTATAGTAAGTTACATGGTCTAGTAAGTTTCATGGTAGAGTGCAGTATATGGTATAGTAAGTTATTTGGCATACTAAAGTACATGCTGTAGTAAATTATATGGTAGAGTACATTGTATGGTATAGTAAATTATACGGTATATTTAATTATATGATATAGTAAATTATATGTTATAGTAACGTCTATGGTATAGTAAATTATTCGGTTTAGTAAATTACATGGTATAGTAAGCTATATGGTTTAGTAAATTATGTGGTATAGTAAGTTATTGGGTATAGTCAGTAGTATGGTATAGTAAGTTGTATGGTATGACAGAGTATACAAAGACATGACATCATACAGTACAGTTAGGTATAGGGTATGACAAAATGTATTGTAATGTGAGATCGTATGATCTGATATAATGTTGCATGGTATAATATGATACGCTAGGCTCTTCCATCGCAAGCTTCGAGGGGAGGGAGTGCACTCTTTCGCACGGTGGGCCCGTCACGATTCACTCCGTCTTTTCGCTTCCTGCCGTCTGAAGGTCCCGAAAGGCATTCGCTTGGATGACCTGCTCCGCTTGGTGGAGGAGCTGCTGAAATTTCACGAGCCAAGCTTCCGCTTTCTATCGCTCTGAGTCAGCGAGGATAACAAAGAGTGGCTTCAGGGCCCCACCGCCCGTGGAACTGGCCGGAAAAACATGTACGATGTCACACCGGAGCTCATCATCGCCCAAGCCCCAGGCACTAGCCAGCAGTTGAGAAGTGCCGTGAAAGTGAATCTATCACAGCCGAGGTGGCCACTACATGCAGCTCGGTGTTCATTTAGGGGTGCTAGAGGGTCTTCCTTCGCTGCCTCTTTTTGCCATCTTGTTAGGCGAAGAGCGGATTGTAGATCTCACGGAGGAGGATGTCGAGAAGATCTCGAAATCTCTCGACTCTGCGCACGATGACGACAGCTTCCAGAGTATCTTTGAGATAGGCTCCCTCCAATGTCGGAAAGGAACCAAGCTTGGAGGAGTTCCCGTGGAAGCTTGGCTGAACTAGATGATGCGGCGACTTATTTGTTGAAGCATCTGCATTGATTGCTTGATAGCTGAGTGGATACACTTTACACTTTTTGGGATAATATTACCCACTATAACGCCAAAAGTGTACACTTCTCGGGGCTCATGAACTCAGCAAACAGATTCAGAAGCCAGTCTCAAGACAACCCTAAACCCTTAAACCCTAAACCCCCAACAACCCTAAATCCTGAAACTCTAAACCCTTAAACCCTAACTAACCCTAATTAAGAAGCCGCTCTCAAGATGCCCCAAACTGCGAGAAGTCAGGACAAGCTGGTCCTGCAGGGCATCCTTCGCAGGGTGCTCGGTGTTTGGCGAGGTCAAGCTGTCAAGCACATGGGAGTTTCCAAAAATTAGGGGACCTTACTTTATGGTCCTCATAATAAGGATCCTTCTATTTAGGGTACCATATTAGGGTCCTCTGTTTTCGGAAACTCCCACATCGCCAAAAAGGCCTTCCCAGAAGGACAGATGCGAAATGCCTGGACCCGAATGACTGAGGCGACGGTGGTGAGCAGCGAGTTGATTATTGGAAGCAGGAGAATGATCCTTGGCTGATTCCCATGGCCCTGCGCAGCTTGAGAGCAAGTTGTGGAGAAAGGCCCTAAACCCTAAGCCCGAAAAGCTTTGGGGGACGGGGAGACGGGACGACTTCGGACAGGAACGGCACCGACACTGGAGAACAACCACCAAGCACGGACGGCGATCCTTGCAGGACAGCACAGCCTGAGAGTTGGCAGCAAACCTTGCTGACGGTATCTGCCGAGGTTTCAAGATTTATGTAAGTGCTCATATCAGAATCCACGAAGACCGCCTGTGTGGGCGTCTCTGCCCATGCAGGAGGTGATCCCGGAAAAGCTCCGAGGGAAGAAGCTCGGGGAAACGAATGCACGTCGGAACAAGAAGTTGCTCAAGCAGCCGGGGACGGTCGTCGTTCTACGGAGCGGCGCGGCTTGATCGCACCTGCCTAAACCCTAAACCCAAAACCTTAAATCCTAAACCCTAAACCCACAACCAAAGACCTTAAACCCTAAACCATAAACCCAAATCCTTAAACCCTAAACCTTAATGAACGGCCCGAACCGACTCAGAGGCTCTGAACTTGAGCTAAGGTAGCTTTTGCCGACGTGGTCGAGCAGGGAGAATTTGCGCCGCTCTCCGCCTTCGTCTCTCATTTTTGGGGAGAGGATTGACCCGAAACCCTAAATCCTAAACCCTAAACCATCCCAAACCCTCAAACCCTAAAACCTAAACCCTCCTAAATCCCGAAGAGCCCTAAACCTCAAACACGAAGCGCCCTAAACCCAGCCTTGGCTCTTCAGGAGACCCTGTCGTTCGCCGAGTCCTTGCGCCTGCATGGTGAAACAGTGCACCCCAGCAATCCAGGACAGCGGCTCAAGTCACCAGAAGGGCTTAGGGTTAAGGTTCTAGGGCGGTCACAAGCTCAAGTCAGCAGAAGGGCTGCTCTACAGAGGAATCTGTTAAGTGTCGGAGGAGCGATGTGCTACTACATCTGCTCGTCGCTCGGCTGCGCGCGGGACCAGTTGAATAATTAAACTGAGCAGAGAGACCCATAAACCCTAAACCCCGTCTCAGGTTCTCGAATTGCCAGCACCTGGTCGCCGGCTGCCTACGACCCAAAGCTGCCCCAAGCGCCGCGCATGTTGCGGATGGCTACACTGCAGGATCTGGGATCAGATTGGCGCTGCTCGCCCTTCAACCGCGCACTTGAGCACGTCGCAGAATGCTCCGTTCTTGGTGCCTGCGAGCTGTAGGACGATTGAGTGGCTCAGATGCCGAGAGTGGATCATGAGGCCGTCGCGTGAGGCAGCAGTCCGTGTATTGTGCCGTGATGCTGCGCCGACCTCGGGGTTGCCTCCAAACATCCCGTGCATTTCACAAGTCAGCCTAGTGCGGAAGGATTGGGGTTTAGGAGATCCTAAACCCTAAACCCGAACACCTAGTGCTTCGTGTCAGCCCGGTTCGGAGGAAGCTTCAGTGGGTGTCGCGGAATGTGCGCTCCTTGAGGTTCGACGAGAGGTGCAGCACGCTGGAGTGGCCCGGTCCGGGAACTAGCGCCAAGGTCTTATAGGTAGATCATGGCAGATCCCTTAATCTGCAACTGAAGCCCCCTGAAGCCGCCGGAGTGTTTTGGTTCAGGCGGATTTGGTGCATCTTCGAAATCTGGCGCTGCTGCCAGTTGGAACTTCGGCTCGACCTGCGGCTTGGCTTCGCCAAGTGTTTTCGGAAAGGATTTAGGGTTTAGGGTTCCAGTGTTTCCGGAAAGGAAGGGTTTAGGGCCTTGGGTTTGCAAAATGTTTCGAAGGCAGACCTTGACCTCTTTCTCGATCTTCGTCTCTCGTGACTTTGAGCCTCTGAGCTGTGGCATCCCTGCGTTGTCTCTGTCCGCTGCAGGTTCACTGTGGAGGGGCAGCTGACTCGAAGATCCAGCACTCCCCTCGCCTGCAAGATCCGCGATCAGGCGAAAGTGCTGGACGTGTCCAACACCGCGTGCTCCGAGATGAGCGATGCTTGGCTGATCAACCGTCAGCAAAGGGATGCTCGGCATGTGTGGCCGTGTGGCCCGCCGGTCAGCGCGACGTAGAGGATGTTGTGTGCCCACATCCCAGGACAAGCGCATGATCGAAGCAGCTGTAGAGACGAGTGGCAGCAACTGGGCCCAAATCGCTGGCATGATCAAGCTACAGGCGCTTGGGAGCCGTGTGTTTGCTTTTGCATGCCGCACTTACCACCCGGGTGGCCAACGCCCTGCAAGATCACAAGCCTTGTGGAGTTCTCTGCCAGCCTGGCCATTTCTCGGAATGCCCTCACAGGCGTAGAGAATGGCGTGTGGGGTTTCGAAAGATGAGCATCCTAATTCACTTGGTACCTGCTCTCAGGCGAGGAAGTAAGTGCCGAAGACGTTGAGATGATGATGTCCGAGACGTTGCAGGCGCGGCGCAGCCTTTTTAGTTCGAGTTGAAGGCTGTGCAGCCACTGCTGCGGCATTTACAGGCTTTCTGCCAGGGCTGTTGTCTTTGCCTGGGCCGTCGTGCCTGTTTGCTGACCGATCAGTGCTGAGCCGAGGTGCGAAACTCGTCCAGCATCATCAGCGACTGCATCCAGGCTTGCAGGGTGTGCCAATGTGCCAAATCCACCTGGTCGATGGATATCAGACTCACCTGTTGCAATCAGCACAACAGGGGCATTTGCCGCGCCTCGTCATCATTGGGCAAGGAGGTGGCTTGCATCTCTGCACTCGTGAACTGCATGCTGCTACGCCAGTGTGACAGAGGCTGCGGCAAGTCGATCTTCGCGCGTGAGGTGGTGAGGAGGGCTGTTCAGGCACAGCTTCCCTGCCTGGCTTTCCTTTGTCCTGCTTTCCACCCTGTTCCTACATGGCTCTGCAAGGCCCTGAAGGAGGGTGCCGGCCTCAATGATTCGCAAACCTGAATTGTGCTCTTGGATCCGCGAAGCTTTGAGTGAATGAGACCTCAGCATTTTGGTGAAATAGGGCAGAGAGAGTGTGTTGCAGGACATCATGATACAGTGATTCCACTCCGGGTGCCCTTGGCAGAGCTGGCGAACCTTGAGGACCCTGCCGAGTGGTTCATGACGAGTCCTTTACGCAGACTAGCTTCAGAAAGCCGCTCGGAACCTTGCAAGGACCACGCAGTCGAAGTCGACTTGCCCCTCCTTTGCATTGCACGCAGCAGCCGCATCCACGGTTATCGCTCTGCTTTGATTTGCTAAGGTTGCAGGTCTGGGCTGCGCGAGTTTTCGGGAGGGACGGCGAGGAGCTTCTCCGAGGCCCAGTGGCACGGAGCCTTGCATTTTTTGGGCATCCCGCGGCGTTTGCACAGCGTCCTGCGACCCAGTGTGTCGTGGAGCAACCCCCTGTCACAGAAGATCGGCGGCTCATCCTGGTCCTCGATGGTTTGGATGAGGCCGGCAAGGGCCGCCGACGAGTCCTCGATTGGCTCCAGCGGTGGCTGCAGCTCTTCGTCCAGCATTTCGACTCCCGTCGCACAGAAGCTGCTTCCCTTGTGCTCCAGCTCAGGGCCAACGGCCACCGGTGCGTTTGCACCATCATCGCCTCTCGGCCGTCCGGAACCAACCAGCCCGGATCCCAGCGGCTCCTCGTCGATTCGGGTTGCACTGCGGCTTTGGAGGGTGCTGGCCAGCGATGGCTCCGCCCGCGAGCCGGCGGCATCGGCCGTGCTCGGGCAGCTCTCCAAGACGTCCCTCCGACTCCTCACCGAGGCTGGGGCTCCTCCACGCTACACAGCGGGGGGGGGGGGGGGGGGGGGGGGGGCACGGGTGCTGCATGAGTCAATGGCCGCTGAGTTGCCAGGAGTGGGTGCCGGCGTCCTCTCATTGTCGGCTGCAGGATGGCGATGGGAAAAGCTTGGGAACTGGCACGGTCGTCTCCTGCGAGATGGCGCTGCTGGCCGAGCTTGGGGGCCCCTTTCCATTCCCAGTGAGTTGCATCGTCCTGGCCAGGGCTTCTTACTGAAGAAGGAGGTGGTGGTTGAGGTCGGCCTGGAGCTTGGGGTGCATCAAGTGGAGGTTCGACGGAAGGACCGGAAGCGCGAGCACTCTGCAGCTCCCTGTGCGGTGGCTATACGCGTGCGGCGTCGCAGGAGCCGGGAAAGGTCTTCTCTGCCGCGGTGTCCCTGGACTACGCCGATCGCTCCGCTGCCCAGGTCCTTCTGGAGCAAGCGTTCCAAGAGGCCGGCGGCGATCCGACGGAGTCGCATCGTGCTGTCGTGCGCCGGGCCGACGGCAAGCTCTGGAAGGATGATCTGCAGAAGGACCGCAAAGAGCAGAAAGCACCCGGGTGTGTTCTGTGCTTCGAGTGCTTGCTTTTGGGACTCGCAGAGCTCCAGGACCGCAAGAAGCCGATAGCCTGGGACAAGCTGGTGCTGTGGCCCAAAGAAGCCTTTCCTTGCCGTGCCTTCCTCACCGACACAGACGACCTGGACGTGGAAGAGGACTCGAGCATGGACGAATGCGACGAGTTGTCGGAAATGGGCGTGGACTATGCCATGCTCATCGAGGAACACCGAAGGCACTCAGAGAGTGTATCCAGTCGAGTCCGCAGCAGACCTTCAAACTCTGATGTACAGCATTCTTCTCTTGTGTGCATCATGGAGGCAGGCACTAAATTCGCGGGAGATCGCGCATGTGCGAGTGCAACAGCCCCAGGCTTTCAGTGAGCAGTAGGAGACTTGGGCAACAAGACGCAACAAGTTTCCAGCTGCCGCCGAGGAGCCTGGATGAAACGTCGGTCGGGATCTTCCTGGCAGCAGATGTGTTCCCGGGCAGCTTCCTTACTCAAGAGCCTCTTGCTTTGAGGGTGTTGTGGCCATGACGAACCCGAAACCCCAAACCCCTAAGCCCATACCCTAAGCCCTAAACTCTACCGCAAAACAGCCCTAAACCCTGCCAAAACAAATGCTGAGCCCCACTCTGAACCCTATGGTCGATCCCATGAGGGGATGCCATCGTTTTGGGAAGCGCCTTCCACGAGCTGCTCCCTTTCGACCGCCGCCCCGGCGAGCTTGGAACGGCTGTTTTGCATTACCGCGGCTGCTTTCTAGAACCTTTTTTCGTATTAGGGCTCCTTGCTATAATTATAGATTGTAGTTATGGTATGATACACTGTTCCCCAAAGCCCTCTTCGAATCGCCAGGTTGCTTCCAGACGGCCATGGCCACGGCAGCCCCGTGCTGCCCATCGAAGCTGACCGAGATTACGGTGCAGCATGAGCTCTCCATGCAGCCGTGGCCTTGGGAGTGTCGATCTTAACGCAAAAGCTGGTGGAAGCTGCAGTAACAGGCTGGGTTTCACCCCGGTGGAGATCCTGCCGCTTCGTCCTTCCGTGGCCTCGAGGTGCCCTCGGGCACGACCTGAATACTGGAAAGAAACATGTATTGACATGTATACACAGACGACTGGCCGACTGATCCACACGTGTGAACATGTCAACGTACATGCTCGTGCTTGATACACATTGACAAAACGAGCACGCTGATAGCATAGGGGAGTTTATAGCCGGAATGAAAAGGAGTGTGCCGCCATCTAACTGTGTTGTACTTTGTTGAGCACTGTTAGCACATTGAAAGTTCTTGGGCAACATTACAAGAGAAACCACACTCTTGCACAGGTACATGTCACATCATGTCGACACAATCAAGCCTCATACCGACAAATCCTCCGAGCAACAGTTCATACATCCTCTAACCCCTCTCTGCCCTACAGATCCTCGAAGTCCTCGCCCTGCAAGCCCTCCAAGCTTAGCTTTAGAGAGCCCGAAGTCTTAAACGCAATACGTCGAGAAGTGTGGCCAAGTAGCCACTTAGGACATCGCTAGTTGGTTTACATTCCCCTAAACCCAAAACCCTGAACCCCTAAACCCTAAACCCTAACCCTAAACCCCTCTAAAGCCAAAAAGAGACTCGTCAGGATCTCCAAGTTCGGGGAGGCGGAGTTGGAAGAGCTACCCGGAGCGGCTCCTCGCTTCGAGGTTTATTTCATGCCCTGTTTATCTTTGGTTTCCTATTCTTGATGCTCTCTTTTGGGGTCATGGGAGAGTTTCCTCACAATAAGGATCCTACTAATTCAGGGTACTCTATTTGGGTCCCCTATTTTCGGAAACTCCCATGTGAGTAGAGTACTGGATGTAGTTAGTGGACTCACTGCAGGTGTGGCAGACACCGCTCATGGCCAGCATGCTGGGCCTCGTCCTCGTTGTGCCTTTGAGTGCTGAGCGTGGGTTAGCGAGTGTTTGGGGTTTAGGACTCGTATGGTTTGAAAATGGCGCCTGGCCGCAAAGGCACGTATCGCGACCGCCAGAAGGACTGCACTCCGAGTTGTCGTTTCTCAGCTTCGCCGGGCGACTTGCAGTCTCTCTGTCTCTCTACCTATTTGCCTGCATACCTATCTGCCTACTTGTCTGTCTATCTCTCTATCTCTTTATTTCTCTCTCTACTATCGGGGAATCTACCTCTAGTTCGTAGTATCTCTCTCTCTCTCTCTCTCTCTCTCTCTCTCTCTCCCTCTCCCTGTATCAAGCGCATGTTCTGTACAAATATGAAGGTGTGCATACATACACAGCTTTCTCTCCGTATCATGTGCATGTTTTGTACAGAAATGAATGTGCGCATATGCACAGGAGACATGCGCAGATATGCAAGCAACGATGCATACAGCGTAGGTGCACAGATGCATGCATACGTACCTACTATTTGCATACATACATGCATTCTGTTTCAGCCGCACATACATGCCTACATGCAAACTAAGTCTGACGACATGAATAGAGAAGTAGATCAACACATGCATGAATGAAGGAAGGACCAAGTAAATAAATGAACCAATGAAGCAATCAATGAATGAGTGAATGCTGTTTGAATGGGAAAGTGAATACTACATTTAAAGCTAACTCCCCGAATGGATCATGATAAATACAGACATAGACAAGTAAAGAGAGACATTGGTAGACAGATGGATAGACAGATAGATAGATAGATTTGTAGGTAGAAAGCTAGGTAGATGGATAGAGGCATAGGTCGATAGACAGGCATAGATACATAGATCGACAGACAGACAGCTGAACAGGTAGTTCACTTAATAGCTGCACTGTCAGGTAGGTAGGTCGGTAGATAGCTAGCTAGCTAAATAGACAGATAGGTGATCAGATTGGTCAATAGCCGAACGCGCGCAAATGAGCACATAAACGCATAACATGTGTTTATGTACACACACACATATACATCTATATCTATATACATCTATATCTATATCTATATCTATATCTATATCTATGTCTATGTCTATGTCTATATCTATATGTATATCTGTATCTATATCTATATCTATCTAAATACATCTCTCTCTCTCTCTCTCTCCCTCTCTCTCTAGGTATATGTGTTTATACACCTCACATAGAGCCGGAGGAGAAGGAGCAGCTTGATGCTGCCACGACAGAGCTGGTGCTCGTGAAGCATGCAGTGGAGGTGCTGATGTCGCAGGCCAGCGCTTTGTCACCAAGTCTGTGCCATACTCTAGTACACCAGAATGTACGAGACTATACTATAATATACTAGAAAAATACCATAGACTATATAATATACTACATACTATAATAAGACACCAGACTGTACTAGAATACACTGGAGTCATGTGGAGCCGCAGCTCTGATCCGAAGGCAGAGAAGCGCACGGGTGCCAAGAACCTCCGAGCAGAGCTCAGACCGCTTTGCCTTGCCAAGCTCCAGGCGAGCTTTTTCAGGGTGTTTGGGGAGTACGGGCTTAGGGGGTTTCGGGTGTAGGGGTTGAGGAGCTTTGGGGGTTTAGGGTTTAGGGGTTTAGGGTTCAGGGGTTTAGGAGTGTAGGGCTTTAGGGTGTTTCGGGGGAGTTTACGGGGCATTTGGGAGAGTTTGGGTTGGGGGGAGTTTAGGGAGTAAGGAGTAGGAGTCAGGGTTTAGGCGGGTTTAGGGTTTAAGTAGGGAGTCAGGTCTAGATTGGCCAATGGCATGGAAGCGTCCGTGGGGGCATTCGCAGCAGGCGGGCCAGCGGCTGCTGTTTGAGCCGGATTTCTCCAACCAGGCGCGCTGCAGTTTGTGCAGTTAGTGTGGGCCGTGCTGGGATACTTGTCCAAACCCTAAACACTAAACCTTGAACCCTAAATTCTAAGCCCTAAACTAGCTAACTCTCTCTCTCTCTCTCTCTCTCTTTCTCTCTGCCTCTCCGTCTTTGTCTCCGTTTTTCTCCCAAGGTTTCTTTCCCTATGACGATGAACATAGACCGGTGAAGAAGCTAATGTTCGTGATCTGCTTGTTCACAGCAGGAACAGAGAAAGATAGTGAACAGAGCACCTTCAGTTGCAAGAGCCCTCGGCCTTGTGCGTATGGCGAGGTGGTCTTCCAAGAAGCTCAACTTGGGCACTTGAGATTCTTCGAGCCGGCTGGGCAAGCGGTGGGGCACGCGAGATTGGAGATTCACGAAATAGATAGCAGCTTTAGACATGGAGGAAGCATTGCGCCACTCATAATGACTTTCTCTCACTCACTCACTCACTCACTCAGTCTCTCTCTCTCTCTCTCTCTCTCTCTCTCTCTCACTCACTCACTCAGTCTCTCTCTCTCTCTCTCTCTCTCTCCATACGGACATGAATTAATGCATATTGCACACATTATGATGCATATGATCTGTGTGCGTTCACCTGCAGTTGCCAGGTGCAGCTCTACCACCTCATCATGCACGAGTATCTAGCTGCAGAGGTGCCTCAAGCATGATTCTCTCAGGTTCAGGGGTTACGGTCGAGCCTTTCGTGGTGGAAGCGTGTGCAAATTTCTGGCTGGAGAACGGCAGGCCTGGAAGGAGGCAGCTGCCCCAGCCTGGTGAGTTGGACTTGACGGCAGAGTCTTTTAGTTGGCCGTAAACCCTAAACCCTGAACCCTAAACCTTAAACCCTAAATCCGAAACCCGAAACCCTAAACCCTCACACTCCGTGTGCCGAGGCGTCTCCAGGTTACAAAGAGGCTTTCGCCCAGGCGCAGCAGCAGCCCATGCTACGAGGCCGAACGTGACCCGAAGCCCAATACCATGTGCCATGCTTTGCTTGCAACCCCAAACCCCAAACCTTAAACCCTAAACCTGCTTCAGGAGCTTTGCGATTTCTCCTCATGATGCAGACGGCTCATGTGGAGGAGGTGGAGATCAAGCTCCCAGACTCACAGATCGGTTCTGCGGATATGGAGGCATTCAAAGGACCCGCTGTTTCTTTGAAACCGTGTGTCGTTGACGTGCACAGAAAACCTATTGGGTTCATGTGCTATGGCATCTTGCATTCTCGTTGATCATGCAAGCTGGGTTACATGTGACTCTGATGTTTTGAAAGCTCTCGAAGGTTTACTGTACGATCTACCGCAAGATGCGAGTGCAAGTTGCGGCGAGGAGCTTTGCTCTGCAGCGAGAAAGTTGCGCTCCATTTGGGTCGAAACCGTCTCGGTGCCGGGCTGAGCCGGGGCGGTGGTGTTTGGGGGTGGCGGTGATGGTCGTAGCCGTAGTCGTAGTCTCAAGGCTAAACTCGAACACGATCACCGTGACAGCCTGGTCTGTTTCAGGGTGACTTTCCGATGTTAAAAAGCGGCTGTGTCTTATGAGAAAGCTTGGAACCTTTTCAAATGCTGAGGAAATCGCTTGACCCCCGTGCAAGAGAACTTGGGCCTTTCACAGGATTTTGAGGGCCTCTCCAACAAAGCTGCAAGGTGCTGAAGGTGCCAGTAGCTTGGCTTCGGTGCTGCCGAAAAACCTTCGGGTGCTGTGGCTGCAGCTGTCCGAGAACGGTCTCGGCCGGGGGGCCCGGAGGGAGGAATCCACAGGTGTTTCGGTTTAGGGTTTAGGATTTGGGTGGCTGTTAGAATTAGGGTCCCTTTTTGGGTTCTTATTATAGTACGGCACCTAATATTTAGGATACCCAAAAAGGGACCATAATTTTGACAACCACCCAGATGGCAAAGTCTCCTGACTTCTTTTCACAGAGCTCCTAGGTTTTGCATCGCTACTGCGGGGTCTGACGGTCTGCCGGCTCTCCGGAAGCATCGGGTCACAATGCAATTTGCTAGTATCTTCGTCCGCACGTCTTCCCAGACGGTGTGGGAGTGTCGAGTGTGCAGCGTCTTGAAGATCCTGCGCCACGTGCGCAGATTCTTGCCGAATTGCTCGGGTCCTCGGAGACCGGATCTGACACTCCGAAGCCCTAAATCTTAACTGGCGTGGAAACTCAAAAGGCCTCTGCCTGTCAGTAACTGCCACATTCCAACGCTTCCGAGAGCCATGTTGGGACTACTGTGCCTTTTCAGCTTCGGAAGGCGTTCGGATTGAAATGAAGTTCGCACGACCGCAAAGACTCTTGCGAAGCGCTCCCAGAATGGCCCCTGCGATTGCAATCCGAGGAGCTGAGGGTGCCAGCTGTGTGGCGTCGGCGCTGCCGAAGAACCTCCGGGTGCTGCGGCTGCAGCTGTCGGAGAATGGTCTTGGCCGGGAAACCCAGAGGGATCTGCCAAAGGCTTCAGCCATGCTCGAGGCAAAAGCGCTTGTGCGCACGCCGTCTTTACTTTTTTTTTTGCCATCTCGCTTTGTTGAGATTTGACCCCTGCCGCCCTCAACATATTCGCATCAGATTCGCGTGTTGCAAGGGAACCAGTGTCCTACACACTCTTGCTTGATTAGTAGACGCACTTTTCGAGGGGATGTGGGTCCAATGCTTTCGATTGACCATGAACTGCACGGTGGTTTAAAGACTTTCTTGATTCGCAAGCGATCTTGTGTAGCGCGGCCTCTCTTTGAACTGGAAAATGCAATGGTCAAACTTGAGCACAGGGGGAGATGTTGAGCACAGGGCATTGTCCTAGAACTTTTGCTTGGTCGCAAAACTGAGGCTGTCTAGGGAGACTCTGATTCAGCAAGCGACCTGGTCCAATCAACGCGGGGCTGTCGTTTCATGCGACAGCCTCTGCTTGACCGTTGGTGGGCTGTCGCCAAAGCTATTGCTAGATCATCCAGAGGACTGATCGGTCAAACATCCACTGCCTGATGAAGAACAATTGTCCAACCCATTTCTTTTGTCCATGCAGGGCCTTGAGAAGACGCTTGAATCTGAACCCTAAAGCCCCAAAACCCCTACAGCCTAAGCCCTAAAGCCACCAAGGCAATGAGGGCACACGAGTCCTGGCCGCCGGCCTCGGTCAACTTCCCTTGGAGGAGCTGGCGCTGAATCTGCAGTGCAACGGGCTTGGCCGGCGACCCAGTGCATCATACTCTCGTGATGCTGACGACGGTGATGCTGCTGCTGATGATGACGACTTATCCCTGCTTATCTGGCTTCATCATCAGAAGCCCTAAACCCTAAACCCCAAACCCTAATTTGTATTCCGTGAATGCTGGACTACACTTCCCAGTTTTACTCTAAGCCGGAGGCTCTTTTGGGTTTCCGCAGAGTAGCGCTGAGCTTCTCCCAGAGTTTCTGGAGGTCGCGGACCTCAGATGGTGAGGATTTGAGAAACAGGAAGCAAACCGCTCGCGAGAGACTAAAGGTTTTGAGAAACAGGAAGTGAACCGCTCGACAGGGACTAAAGGGGTTTCCTTAAGGGTCGTAGAAGGGTCCTTTGTGTGAGTTCTTCAAGGGGATGTAGGATGCTTTGAGAAATTTGACCCGAGACGGTCTTCTCAGTTCCCCTGAACCCATTCCTTTGCATGACCACGTTTTTGTTCGGGAATACAAGACTACCCTAAATCCTGAACCCTAAACCCATTCCTCAGTATACTTAGAGGATCATGAGACTTAGTAAATAGGTTTAATTAAGGTAACTATACTTATACTTACTTATAACCCCAATTAAGGTACTTATAACCATACTTACTAAGTCCCAGGATCCTCCAAGTAGGTTCAGCCGCCGAGGTGAAGAGGGCGACGCAGGAGCCGCCCTCCTTGGTGAGGCCTTGAGCTCCCTTGGCGAGTGCGGGGGAAAGCTGCGGCGTCTGAGCCTGGACTTCGCCATGAACCGAGTGGGCCGGGGCTCCCGAAGGTTGAAGGGTTTAGAGCTTAGGGTCGTTCCCTGTTTAGGGTTGAGGGCTTGGGGTTTAGGGTTGGGGTTGAGGGTTTATGCAGGCAGTCTGGGGACAATCCAGAAGCGAATCACTTGTGCATCAACGGTGAGGGTTTCAGGTGGGTCCAGGACTTCCTCTTCGGAGTTGGTGTGGCCCAGGTAATATGTATCAGCCGCAGAAACAGTAAGACTGTACAACTCATACTGCCGTAACAGAGAAATGGCAATTGAGAGCTTCGAGCCTGGGGAGAGGGGGATTGTCGGATTCATCCCCTGGGGTTCAGGTGTCCTTGAGAACTGCATATCCACGATGCTCAAGTCTAGTCATGTCGGTTGTTGATGAAGCACAGGGCATGGTACGAAATGCCAATCAGAGGCTGCATGTGGTGGGGTTGAACTGGGGAGCGAGGCTTTAAATGCTCCAAAGAAGACTCCTCATTTAGGGTATAGGGTTTAGGGTTTAGACGGTTAGGGTTTAGGGTTTAGGGATGACAAGCCCTTCCTGTCCGTCTCTCTCGTTGTGTATATGGAGTTGTAAGTTCTACGTTACAGGTTTCCTGTATGATTTCAGGCGCTGTGCCCTTTGCTATCACCTGGGACCCTGACTGTCTTGCCAGTGCTCTTGCCAGTGCTCTTGCCAGTTAAAGTCATCGGAGTTCTTGTAGGGATTCTCTGCGCCCAATTCCATCATCAGCAGGGCTGAGAGAATGCGTTCGCTTGCAGGTGGATCGCCATGAGTCTGAACTCCCAGACTCCCAAGCCCAATGCTCTCACACCCAAAGTCCCCAAGACCTTAAAGTGCCTTTCTCCTGGACCCTACACCTCAAACCCTTGGGCTCCCTAGAATCTGCAATATGTGTTTGCTTTACTCATCATTATTCCGTGATGTTGGTCATCGATTGTTGAGTTAGATTCGCAACCAGCCTCGCGGGCCTAGCTTGTGAGATTTCGTTTCAGTTTTTGTTGCAGGCAATACAAAGATCGAGTAGGAACCTGTATGTCAAAGCATGGCTGTTGTTCATGCCCAGGTCCAGTTTTGACATTTTAACACACTTCATCCATACCCAGTGCGATCACGCACATAGCCACACAGTCCTCCGACATTCTGGCACTTGCAAGCTATGCTACAGAAAGCCATTTGTCGACTCTAGACCCTCTGCATAGCAACCACCATTGAGAAGTACCCCAAAAGCTTAACTGCAACCCTGGAGAAATATTGGGAACATATCGGGGCAGCACACCAAGATTTGTAAAATATGCAAGCCAACATTGGGAAACTATTGGCAGTGTAAAATATTGGCAAGATATGCAGGACAGGCAAAAGACACACATTGGGAACATATGCACCTCCTAGCCCGTGGTCACAACCCTAGAAGCTACGATATTATAACATATACTAGAGTATTCTATAAGCCAATATGACATCTCCAAAATTACTATCATATTTCATTATACAATATATTACCTCTGTGTCATCGCCGAGGCGACGACGGCGCTGTGGCTCTGGCGAAGGCCCTGAGCCTGTTGGCCAGCGAGCTACGACACCTGAGCCTGACAATCCCAAGGAACGGAGTCTGCCGGGGGCCCAGAGAGGGTAGTCCGAAGATTTGTCAGGCGTTCGTGGGAAAGGATTTGTTTGTTAAACGAGGCTTCCTGAAGCGCTTCTCGAGCATTTTCGGACGACTCTCCGTCAATTTTTGGAAGAACTTCGACAACATGTGCTCAAATTCTGGGATTTCTGTGAGGCGCTCCGCTTTGCCGTCAGAGCCTTGTCATCAGGATCAGCCCCCCCAATCTAGGTATTCGGGTCCCCCTGCCTTCTGAGATTCGAAAACTAAAGCTCGGTTAGCTCGGTAATGAGATCACTGAGGCTAAGGGCCCCCCTGCTTCCTCAGATGTAACCTGTAGTCCCGTACAGTGTAGAGCCCTCATAGAGCCCTGAAAATCCTTAGAGAACCCTCAATTCGGAGCGCATGAGAAGCTTTACAGAACGCAAACTTAGTGAAACCCTTAAAAACCCTAAACCCTAGACCCCTAAACCCTAAACCCTAGACCCCTAAACCCCTAAACCCTGGACCCCTAAACCCCTAAACCCTAAACCCTAGATGCCCTAAAGGCCCTAAACGCTTAAAGCCTGAGGCCTTGAGGGCCTCCGGGCCCTGGCGGCTTCCCTGGCGCAGCTTCGGCTCGAGGAGTTGACGCTGGACCTGAGCAATCAGGCCCGCTGAGGGTTGAGGGCTTCTAGGGTTTCGGGTTTATGCAGGGGTTAGGGCCAGGGTTGAGGGTTTAGGGTTTCGGGCAGGGTTAGGGCAGGGTGTTTGGGGGTTTAGGGTTTCGGGTTTAAGGGATTTAGGGTTGAGGGCTTAGGGTTTCGGTTAGGGTGGGGGTTTAGGGTTTCGGGTTTAAGGGTCAGGGTGTTTAGGGTTTACTTGGGGCTTAGGGTTTACGCGTAAGGGCAAAAGTACAGATGCCTGAAGACTTATCTTTATTAGTCTTGAGGGTCTCTTCTGGCAACTTTTTGTTATATATCCTCAGAAACCTACTCGGGTGTTTGAGCTTAGATTTGGAGTTTTGGGTTTAGTTTAGGATTTAGGGTCGGCTGACTTTCAGGGCTGCTGCAAACGGGGTCTACGCTTAGTAGGGTTCGGGGGTTAGGGTTGAGAGTTTCGGGAAAGTTTCCTGGGTTAAGGGTGCCTGAAGCCGAGGATCTGGGCCAAACCATTGCTTCACACTTCTTCGGTGCCGCTTGTTTAGGGTTCTGGGGTTTAGGGTTTTGGGGTTTAAGGTTTGGGGTTTACGGCTTAAAGAGTTTCAGTCGCAATTTTTGTCGATTCCCAGCCCTTGGGCGGCCACAAACCCCCGCCTCTTTGCATCTTTTGACACACCGCCTCGCATGGATCTGGTTTCACATGGGCAGTGTCAAAATTATGGCCCTTTTCGGGTAGCCTAAATATTAGGTGCCGTATTATAACAGGGACCCGAAAAAGGACCATAATTTTGACAACCACCCTTATGCTCTTATGACTACATATCGCCTCCTCGAGCAATACACGCCACTGTGCAACTGTGCCCCGTAACTGCTTTGGCCAAAGTGGACCACGTTGGACATTAGCCTGGAGCTCTCCCGCGTGGTGCACTTGTGCATTACATGCTGCAAACTGCCTTGTCCCCGAGATCATGTGGGTATCAGTTGGGGTGGCTCAAACTAGGGACCTAATAAGTATGTCGTCGTTGTCGGCCAGAGGCCGGCGTGATCTACGCGAACACGCTAGGCCTGGCACCTGGTTGGAGGAGCTTGATTCTGTGAATTGTTTGCCCCATTGGACGATGACTAGACCTCTGCCCTGTCTGTCTGTCTGTCTGTGTCGGTCGGTCTGTCAGTCTGTCTGTCTGCCTGCCTGCCTGCCTGTCTGTCTGTCTCTCGCTCTCCCTCTCTAGTGTTGTTTCTTCTCTCTCTCGCTCTCTCTCTCTCTCCCTCTTCCTCTGTGTCTCTTCTCCGTCGCTAGCCTCTGCATTCCGAAGAAGACCTCGAGGTGCCGCGGCTGCTGTGATCCCTTTGGCGGAGGCGCTGGGCTCGCCCGCTCTGGCCGGGTCTCTGCGAAGTCTCTCTCTGGAGCTGCACCATCAACAAATCGGTCCCTTGGCACTCAAAGGGCCGAGGCTTGGGGCTTTATGGGGACCTCAAAGAATTACCCTAAGCGCACCTTTAAGGCATCCATAGGGCTCCATATTAGGGTCCCCTGTAAGGGGTACTACATGGGTTCAATAAAAGCGTCACCCTTTAAGGGATCTACAGGGTTCTTTCTATAATGGGGGTTGGGGCTTCCCGAGCTTCACTCCACCGGGGCAGGAAGCTTGCATCTTCGAGGATCTTTCCCGTTTTGACTTCGGAACGCAGAGCAGTTTCCATCATCTGCCACAGCATCTTGAAAGCCGTTGGCTTTAGCTTGGAGATGTTGAGATGTTGTTGGATGTAATTAGGGTTTAGGGTTTAGGGCACTTTGCAAGCCTAAGGCGTCAACAAAGCCCCAAGGACTGCTGGAAGCTCGAAGACTTCGTATTCTTGACACTATGGGAGTTTCCGAAAATGAGGGGTACCTTATTTTGGGGGTCCTTGCAATAAGGAGCCTACTATTTAGGGTACCATATTCGGGTCCCTTATATTCGGAAACTCCCAGCCTAAGACCCTGAAGCCAACCCTGAAGCCCTAAACCTATCTTTGGTTACTTGTAGTAGGGAATGGAGGAATGGGGTATAACTCTAACTACTATTACTACCATTCTTCCATTCAGTACTAAACCTTAAACCCTAAACCCAAACCTTAAATCCTAAACCCTATAGTCTAACCCCAACCAAAGGTAAGTAAACCCTCACTGAGGTGTCGAGGGCATGCGGGCCCTTGCCGCCGGCCTGGCCAAGCTTCGTTTGGAGGAGCTGACGCTGGGCGTTGTCAAAAACTTCCACGGCCCGGAGCCCTGGGAGGTTTGGGGTCATTTAGGGTTAAGGGTTGTCTATGTAGGGTTTACTGTCTTTGAGAGTTTGCGGTGTAGGGTTTACAGTAGGGTCTTGCGCCACTGCTTGAAACAGTCCGGGCTTGAGGGTCTCAGGCCTAGCGATTCAAGGTTTGATTAGCTTATTCGTTTTTGTGCCTCGATTTTAGGAGTAGGTCCTCAGGCTCCAGGTAGTATTTTTGGTACCGTGGCTATGCGGAGTGTGGACCTTAGTCTCTGACCATCCCAAGCCCCCCTCTACTAAGCCGTAAACCTGCTAGTACACCCTACGCACCAAAGCCTAAAATGAGATCGCCAAGGCGACGAGGCCGCGATAGCTCTGGCAGAGGCCCTGAGCTCATTTGGTGAGTCATTGCGACGCCTGGCCGTGGACCTCGCTGAAAACGCCGTGGGCGTGGTGGCCCAGAGAAATGCGAGCAGTGTGTAGCTATAACATAAGGAGAAATCAAAAGAATAGCCAAGCAATTCGGAGCGTGCCTACATGAGCCTGGCGCCCCCAAGCATTTGGGGTTGTCTTAGGCTTCGGTTTGGGGGTATATTTTGCAACATCTACACTGGGACAATGTTATTGAGATTGAGCTTAAGTCTTAGAAGGGACAGGGCCTCTTTCTTCCGAGCCTGGGCGAGGCCGATTAGTCAGGCTTCGAAGTGCCAAAATATGTTCCAATGCTGTTGCCAAAGGCGCGCATCCAAACCAAGGAAGCTCCTTCCAGACTTCTGTCATGTGGGTGGTTGTCAATATTAGGGTCCCTTTTTGGGTCCTCATTATGATACGGCACCTATTATTTAGGGTACCCAAAAGGGACCGTAATTTTGACAACCACCCATGTGTTGAAAGGGTGAGCGGGCAAGAAAGCATCGCACCAGTCATGAGAATTGACGAAGGTCGCGCAAACTCCGACCCTGAACCGTAAACCCTCAAGCCTAAATCCTAAAGCCTAAACCCTAAATCCTTAAATCCTAAACCCTACATCCTAAAGCCTAAACCCTGAATCCCTAAATCCTAAACCCTAAATCCTAAATCCTAAACCCTAAATCCTAAATCCTAAACCCTCAAGCCTAAAGCCTAAACCCTAAATCCTAAATCCTAAACCCTTAATCCTAAATCCTAAACCCTAAACCCTAAATCGTAAACCCTAAAGCCTAAACTCCTGAGGCGCTAAGGGTGCACGTGCCCTCAGCGACACCATCGCCAAGATTCACCTCGAGGACCTAACGCTGGACCTGAGCAACAGCAAGCTGGGCTCGCGGCCTCAGCAAGACGTTTAATATGCATGTTAATACTGATACGAGTACTAATACTATTACCTGTACTAATCCTGTTGTACTTATATCAATACGAATACTAATACTAATGCTAATGATAGCACGAAAATGATATTGATACTAGCACAAATATCGTAGTAGCAATAGTCGCATCCTTTCGGGAAATTTCGATGCCGAAGCGCAGGTCACCTTAAACCCTCAACCAAAAACCCCCCAACCAGAGCCAAGACCGTTGTAATAGAGGGGCCTTAATAATTGCCTATACTATTTTGGGGGTTCCTTACTATAATCATAGTATAATGGGCCCCAAAACCCTTTTCCAATTATTGAGGCCCCTATACTAAGCTCTAAAGCCGAAAGCCCCAAAATCCGAAACCGAAAGCCAAACACCCGAAACCCTTCTAAACCCCAAAGCCCTGAACCTCTAAATCTTGAAACTTAAACCCCAATTCCAAACCCCATACTCTAAACCCTGAACCTTAAACCCTAAACCCTGAACCCAAACCCTCCTAAGCTTCTAAACCCTGAGCCTTAAATCCAAGACCCCAAAACCTTAACCAAGCCCAAAAGCCTCCATCGCCGAGGCAACGAAGTCGAGTTTCTGAGCTCCCTGGGCGCGGCCAAGTCTCTCCGGCGCTTAGCCCTGAAGTTAGCCAGGAACGAACTCCGCCCGGGTGCTCAGTTGCTCCATGTGCTACCTTGCTGCGTATGTGTGTATTTATATTATGTATCTATATACAGAATACATAGAGACATGGAGTGTGTACATATATATATATGTATATATACAGATAGATGGATAGATAGATACATATATATATATATATATATTCATTTAGACATGTAGATACATAGATGTGTAGATTGCATTGCTCTCCGCTGAGGGTGCCGTGAAAGACTCCCTTCATGAGCTTGCAGCTTCCAGGCTTTGTGAGCCAGAGTCCAGTTGACAACAGCTTGCAGGACCTTTCAGAGCACGGAAGCCTACTGAAACCCTAAAGGCGAAACCCTAATCCGTGCTCTCCCTGAATGAACCAGAGGCTGCCGCCTGAAGAACGATGAGCTTGAGTTGTGGGGGAAGGTTTCAGGGTTTAGGGTTTAGGGTCAAGACTCAGGTATCCAGATGCGAAGCAGCATCCAACGCACTGCATATCTGACATGATGGACTTGATTGGGCCGCTAGTTGAAATTCAGAACATGCGTGTATGCCGGCAGAATGGATTTGTAAGTCCTTGCACGTACATCAACACAGTCCGGAGCTTGCTTGAAATAGGGGCTCGGACGGATGGCCGGTTTTAGGGTTTAGGGTGCTATACTCCCATCCTGATAAAGCGCGCCAAGCTCAACCTTGCACAAAGTGAGAACCCAAACCCTCAAAGCTCTAAGCCCTGAGCTATGTAAGTCCTATACACCCCGAAACCACGAAGCCTTAAATGCAAAATCTTGAACCTTACACCCCCAACACATAACCCGCAAACCCTGAACCCTAAATCCTGAACCTGAAACCTTAAACCCCCCATGCCAAACCCCCAAGCACTGAACCCTAAACCCAAAGCCCTAATCCCCAAAACCCTGCACCCTGAAGCTGTACAAAAGGCATAGAGGCCCGCACCGCCAGCCTCGCTGCCCGTAGACCGGCCGAGCACACAAGTCCGGATGAAGCCTGAATTTTTAATCCTGAACCCACCAATCTTAAACCCCTAAACCCTGAAATTTTAATCCTGAACCTTAAACCTTAAGCCCCGAATCCTAAACCCCTAGACCCTTAAACCCTGAGCCCTAAAGTTCTGAGGTGTTGAGGGTGCTCACGCCCTGGCTGCCGCTTTGGCGCAGCTTCGTCTCGAGGAGCTGACTGTAGACGTGGCGCACAATGGTCTGGGTATGGGGGCCCAGGTGTGGGGTGTTAACGGTTCAGGGTGTTTAGGGTGCTGAGAGTGTTTGTGGTGTTTGGAGTGTTTAGGGTGTTTTGTAGGTTTTATTTCTGCAGTTTTGCTCAGGGTTGTTCTTTTTACTCCAGCTCTTGTTGTTGTCATTGATCTGGCCATCTTGACTGAAGGCCAGAAAGGACGCCCCACAACGCACACATCCTTTCGTGTGGTACATTCTGCTCTCCAGCTTCTCTCAGATACATTGCTAGAGCTGTTAGATAGACAGATTTGCAGGCAGCTTGGGTAGGTAGATGCATGCAGAACCTCGCGCGCGCGAGGTTCGCAAAGTACAGCAGCTAGGAGCCTCTGGCACCCTTGAGTGGTAGTCCTGAGTTGCGACTCTCAGCCTAGCTAGAGGTTGGTGGATAGATTGCAAGTGAGATGCGCTAAAGCTCCTTTAACCCCCAAGGAACTAAATCCTACACCCTAAGACCGCAGACCCCAAACTCCTATCCCAAACCCCCAAACTCCGAGACTCCCAGACTCGAATCCTTAAAGCCTTAAACCCGAAGCCCTAAACCCTTAAAGCCCTAAACCCTCAACCCTTAAAGCCCTGAACCCAAAGCCCTAAACCCTTAAAGCCCTAAACCCTAAACCCTTAAAAACAAAGTCCTAAACCCTTAAAGCCCTGAACCCAAAGCCCTAAACCCTTAAAGCCCTAAACCCTAAACCCTTAAAAACAAAGTCCTAAACCCTTAAAGCCCTAAACCCTTAAAACCCTAAACCCAAAGCCCTAAACCCTAAGCCCCAAACCCTTAAAGCCCTAAACCCCAGGCCCTAAAACCTAAAGTCCCCTAAATCCCCAAACTCCAGGACTCCTAGACCCGAATCCTTAAAGCTCTAAGCCCTACTAAGCCCTACGTAACCCCTAAACCCCAAACCTTAAATCCCCAAAGCCCTAAACCCTAAACCCCTAAACTATTAAAGCCCTAAAACCTAAAGCCCCCCCAAATCCCCAAACTTCCCGGGACAGACCCAGGCCCGAGTCTGGTCCTCCTGGCGCGGGCGCTGGCGGAGGCCGGGCCGAAGCGCCTCAGTCTGGATTTGCTCTGGAACGACGTTGGCGCGGGGGCCCAGGGGGTTGGGGAACATCCTGAGAAGTTCTTTGGTAGTGGTGGTGGTGGTAGCAGTAGTAGTAGTAGTAGTAGTAGTAGTAGTAGTAGTAGTAGTAGTAGTAGTAGTAGTAGCTGCAGCAGTAGTAGCAGTACTAGTAGTGGTAGAAGTAGGGGAAGAAGTAGTAGTGGTAGAAGTAGTGGTAGTCGTCATCGTAAAAATAGTGATAATATTCATAACAATTAGTGGACAAAAGAGATAAAACAGGAACACTACTGACGATAGCAAGAGTCAGGCTAGCCACACTCACACTCATGCCCATACTGAAGACTCATGATACTCATACCCATACTCAATCTCACTACTCAGACTCATACTCGTCATGACAGCGCAAGTACTATTCGAAATCATGCCCATGGTTTAGGCTTTGCAGTCGTGCTTTGGGAAGGAGGCACGCCAAGCATCTCCATGCTTTGCCTTCGATCCGCATCTGCACGCCTGGGGTCATGAAAGCCTCGTCGAATCAGCGCTGCTCGTGAGCCCTCCACCGAGGCCCGGAGGGGGCCAGCGCCCTCAGCGATGCCATAGCCAAGCTTCACCTCGAGGACCTGACGCTCAACCTGGGCAATAACGTCCGTCCGGGGCCCGGCGAACGTTCAGCTTCTGTGGTCGTATATTCTAGTATGTTATAGTAGATCATGAAGCTCTCCGAAACCTGCCTCCCAAGCTCTGCCCGGCCGATTCCATCATTGCATCTCGTAGCTGGCCGCATCCTCCTGCACTTCGAGCCCTAAAGCTCAACGCTCAGCCCCGCCAAACCCCCCCCACCCCACACCCCGAGGGCCTCAAACCCCGAAAGGCCCGCCACACGACCCTAAAGCCCCACGCCCTGAACCCAAAGCAGACCCTTCATAGGCCCATCAGCCCTCCGAAAAGAAACTTGAAACCCCCACCCCAAAGTCCCAAGCAGAAGCCCATCAAAGCCAGGACCTAAACCCTAAACCCTAAACTCCCCTCAAACCCAGGAGGCGATGAGGTCATCGTCGCCTTGGCTCCGGGCCTCAGCGGAGCCCAGGAGCTGCGGCGCTTCGCTTTGCTTCTCTCCCAGGGCGGCGTCGGCGCGGCGCCCCAGAGGTTTGCTTCAGGGTTTAGGGCTTAGGGATTTACCTTGGAGTGTAGGAGTTTAGGGGTTAAGAAAAGCTTCAACATGTTACAAGGTTCACGAGTTTTGGGGTTAAGAAAAGCCTTAAGGCTTTTGACAGTTTCAGACTCTAGGGCTTGGAGTTCAGTCATGGTTTAGTGTGGTTGACGGCAGTAACACATACACAATCGTAGCAGGTCCGTCTTTCGAATCATCATGACATCATGGAAAAACGCAGAAACAATGAGACAAGCCACCATAATGGAAGCTGTTTCTTTCACAGCTCTAGCATACAGGGGTTCCCACTGGGCTCCCTTCGCTGAAGGTCTGCCAAGACAGTCAGAGTCCTGCAGCCTGAAGCCCGTTGAAGCCCTCAGCATCAGCACGAGCTTTACAAAACCCAAAACCTTCTAGACCCTCAACCCCGACTTTAAATTCAAAAAACCCAATGCCTCCCAATCAAGAATCTACCCATAAATGGGCTCTCTGCGTTGCTGAGGCGATAACGGTGCCTGTGCTTTGGCCGCCGCCCTTGCGAAGCTTCACCTCGAGGTCTTGATGTTGGACCTGACACAAAACAGCCTTGGCCGGGACCCCGGAATCCCGATCATCAGCATCAGCTTTCTTGTCGGTATTGCTTCTATTGTTGCTTGTCTCTTGTTCGTGTTCACCACCATTGGTATCCTTGTGGTACCTTGTAGTACAGACCATCATGATGCTCAGGATAATCAGTCCTGGTTTGGAGTTTAGGATTCATGAAGTCTAGGCTTTACGGTTTAGGCGTTTAGATTCAGAATACCAGGGAATGCAGAACTATTCCTGCCATGACCGTGCCGGAAACAGCGGTCGCGCTGGTAAGGGTTTGCAGGCGATAGAAGTCATCATGGCGATAAACATGACATTATCACCTTCCTTTGTCTGTGATGTGCAGTACATATTCACGGAGCATGTTGATGTTGCCTGAAGTTATGTTCGTTTCTGAGGAGTCAAGGTCCCCGTGAGACAGGAAAAGGGAGAGTGACGATCACAAGCACAGTCATGTCATCCAGTCCTTCATAGCAGCAGCCGTCATAATGTCATCATGGTACCTATGGTAACTTAGCAGCAGTGCAATTTCAGACAGTATGTACAGTCGTAGGAGAATAGCAAGCAGAGTCATAGTACGGATGAATGTAAACCCTTGATCAATCAGCCTTTCCTGCTAAGGACCAAGGACCGCAATATGGGTCCGAATGTCTCTGGATCTGTAAAGCAAGGGGATTGCTCCTAAGCCCTAAACTGTAAACCCTAAAGGAGATATACATAAAAAGTACGCTTCAGTGCTCTCCCCCGAGGCGATGAGAGTGCCACGGCGCTGACTGCCGCCGCAGCCAGGTTGCCTCTGAAGGACCCTAAGCCAACTCTGGGATTCAGAGCTTAGGTTCAGGGTTTGGGTTTTTAAAGGGTTCAGGGCTTAGGGTGTGAGGTTTGGGTTTTAAGGGTTTGAGGTTTAGGGTTTAGGGGTTTAGGGTGCGAAGAACCCAAACCCCTACACCGAAAAACCCGAACTGGAAGACCCAATCCCCAAAATGCCAAACGTTCAATCAGAACCCTTATGCCCAAGCAACCCTTTACTCTCATCCTGGTCATGCCTAGTGAAAATAACAGTGATAGTAACCATAGTAGTAATAGCAATAATAGCAACAATAGTAATAGTGATACTAGGAGTAATTGCAAGAGTAATAATAGTAACACCAAAGCACCCTGCAGGAGACCTCCGTGGACTTGAGCGGTAATGAGCTGAGTCCGGGGCCCATCGAAGACCTTCCACCATGACCATACGTGCTGCAATAAGACAAGACACGACAACATCAATACAATACGTGCTACTATGAAGAATACGACAAGGGTTCTAGAGGGGTTCTCTGGAGAGTAGAGCTAAGTATCCCGCTATTTAGCTGTGTCACAGGTAGCAAAAGCACTTGCATCGCTCCGTTGGTATATCGATATGGGAGTCATGAATAGTGTTACCAGGATTGTGAAGGTTATCGTTGGCGTTCTGGTCTTGTTGTTTCTCTCTTTCCGCATATTAAGCCCTAAACCTTGAACCACAGCGTCACTCTCCGACTCTCTCGTCGAAGTTCGAGGTGAGGAGGGCGCCAGAGCTCTGGCGTCTGCTGTGCTGCCCCTTAGAAATCCCTGGCTGGACTTCTACAGCTTCTGGGACACATGAACGAGGCCGGGCTTGAGGGTTTCAGAGGGGTTTATGGTTTAGGGTTGAGGGTGCAGAGTTTTAGGGGTTTCGATGCTTACGGTTTAGGGTTCAAGGGTTGGACATCCGAGTTTGCCTGGCGGCAGGCATCATTGTCTTGCTCGTCTTGACGTGCTACGACGCTGCACTTGCTGACCCTGTGTGTGAAAATGAAAGCCGCTTAACTCGGGTTTTGCCATTGGCCTGAGTGCTCACGGTTGAGGTGGTTGAAGGTCCCTGGTGCAGAAGCTTCAGAGCAATGACGGAAGTGAAGTCCCACTTGCTGGTGCGAACCATGTTGTCAATCCAGTCACATATCTGCTCAGCCATATGGCCTCGACCAGTGCGAGTTTCGCATGTCAAGCGGAGCAATACTTTCTTACCTGCTTAGCTGTGAAGCCCAGCCACTTAGCATCAGTCGAGCAGGACAGAGGCCTAGCGTGGTCGGATGCCAAGAGGATGCACTTCTCTTCGCTCTTCGCCATTTTCTGCGCTCACATTGAATCTCGGATTGTGATTAATAGCAATAATAATGTTAATAGTAATAAAATGGGATAGTAGTAACAATCGTAATATTAATCCCAATAGACACAATTAGTAATAGTAATAGCAACAATAACAGTAACAGTAATAACAAAAAGCAATATCAATAATGGCCATAGTAATAATAGTAGCAGGTCACGCTCACCCGTCCTGTCCCGGGATCTGAGGCTTCCTACGCTTCCGCACAGGATGACCGCCTCTGGAGCCAGCAGCTCTGGTCGGAAACCCAGACTGGCGAGAACTGGAACAGGACGCTGCCCTGGTGGGTCAGGATTCAGGGCTTCTTCGAAAGGCTGAGGGTTTAGGGCTTTCGGGCTGTCGGGTTTAGGACTAAGGGTTTTGGGTTCAAGGGTTCATTGAAAGTTGAGATAGTGCGAGGGTTTTCTGAAGTGAGGATTTTTGCCCCTCAACCACTCTTCGGTTGGGTTGCGCGCGAAGACAGACAACCCAGGTGCAGACATGCTAGACCGAGCCCCTTTAGCTGAATCGCAAAGCATGACCGAGCATCTGAATCTGATGGCTTCAGCTCATGAGTCTTTATCTCTAAGCCCACAAAACCCTAAGTCCATAAAGACCCTAAGCCCTAAACCCTAATCCTATCACTAAGGCCAGAAAACCCAGAATCCACAAAGACCCTAAGCCCTAAACCCTAATCCCTTGCTACTGTGCAAGCCTTGCGGATTCATGCTCCGTAGACAACGCGTTCAACAAAAACAACCCTTGCTGCTTCCATGAGGAGTTGCCTAGCGGATGCAGTTCCAATTGTGGAGCGGAGATGGCTTCCCAGCGCCGGTGGCATTCCCCTAGGCTTGTGAAGTTTGTGGGCGTATTATTGACTTTGTAGGTTAAATGTCATACTTTGCGCGTTGTACATTAGACATTCTGCGTTGGATATCAGATCTTACTTTGCTTGCGATTCTTTTAGCAAAGTGAAACGGCCGCGGCAGGCGCTGAGTTGAGGCTCCAGGTGATGGTGGATAATGAGCTTTGTAGATCCCGTAGAGTAAAGCGATGTGGTAACCCTGAAAGTAACCTCTGTGGGAGTCCCGGTAGTATGCCTTACTTGAAGTAGGCGTGACATAGAATCCCTGACCCTGCCGAATCCCTCAGGCCTGTGGAATTTGTATGGTTCGAAGATGGAGCTGGACACGCCCAGCACAATCTTTAAGATTCTGGCGGAGGAGGTTCTTGGTTGCTGTGCCTGATCGAAGCAACTATTTTAGAGCGAGTTTTGCAGCTTCATATGTTTTCAGGCATGTATAGGGTTTCTCTGAGGTTCCTTGGGTAATGCAAGATTTGGTTTCCACACGGCTGTACGGGGGCTTTGTGGGGCTCCATAGGGCGTTGTTGGGGATCTGTAGAGTTGTTGTGCGCGCCACAGCCACCGCCACTGCCCCCGCCGCCGCCGCCGCGATCTTGACCGCGACCGTGACCCACGACCACCACCACCAACAGCAACACCAGCACCAGCACCACCACCAGCACGGCACCAGCAGAACCGGCAGCAGCAGAAATTCTCATCGCTTCATCTTTTGGATTTTAGACATCTTTCTCGCACAGAACCCATACTATCCATAAGTCTTGGGCCCTGGACCCTGCATCCAGACTCCCTCCCAAGCCGTAAATACAACCTCACTGCCTCAATCCCCGGCAAGGTTACCACGTCAACAGCGACGTTCAGGACGTAGGCACTGCAGCGGAGGCACTGTGGAAGCTAGCAGGCTGTTCCCCGAGCGAGACCGACAGCTGCCATGAGCAGACGGACTTCCACATCACCTTCGGAGCTGCTTCGCCCGGTCTTTTGGAGTTTAGGAGTTCAGGGTTTTACAGGGTCTAGTTTAGAGACAAAGTCGAAGACAGAAGCATGCGTGTAAACTCCCGCACTCGCATAGATGATCATAGATAACTATGGACCTATGGACACACGCATATACACATGCAAGAACTGTGAAAAGAACATCTACAAGTACAGGCTGCCTTGAAAAGATGTCGCCCACCCTCTCCACTCTCTCCACTCCTTTTTTTCGTTAACTCGCTTGCAAGTTCACTCGCACCTGCTCATATTGCCACTCTTGCATTCGCTCCTGCAGCGACTTTCATTCACTTCGCACGCGCTTGCTTGTGCCTTTGTCACACAAGCAACGTTAGGAAGTTGTCAGCCGTGCTCCGCCTCTGCCGGTTTCAGTTGGTTGCTTAATTCCTTGGCCCTTGGCCCTTGGCCGTTTTTTTCATGATCCCACCTTGCGTCGGGGAAAGAGGTTACCTTCAACGCGAACGTATCGGTGGAGTACGACCGGGTTCAGCGGCTCCAGATGGGCGGCTTGCTGGAAAACCTTGCGAGCATGGGATACCTCACCCGAGCCGGGATATACGTGACGCAAGCCCTGCTACAATCTGCAGAGACTTCTACCTCCCGGTCCCTCTTGGATGATTACAGGAGGGCTGTTTTCCTGCAGATCGCATTGCAATCTTCAATGCCTGTTGTTGAAAGTAATACCTTTCGAGGGACCCGAGAAGTTGGCGAGAAACACCTTGTCCGCAGGAGTTATGACGCGCGCTACCATCAACCGCAGTCCTTCTTCGACGACGTGGAGAGCATCGATCACTCGCAGCTCGTTCCGTGTGCGGGCTGGCTAACTTCTTCTCAGGCCGCGGCTTCTTTCAGCTCATACGGTTGATGATACAAATCCTGCATTACCTTAAGGACCCTAAACTATGGGAATTATGGTATATTCCTTATTATGGATGATGCAGGATTTATATCATCAACCGTAACGTAGGAACTTGAGAAACCCTGGTTTTGTGACCCCAACATAGTAGGAATACATAGACAGAAGCCTCATTAAGAAAGACCCTAGGTTCCTGAATCAGGTTCCCTATTCTCCTTGAACTGTTTAATTGGGGTTTCGGGTTTAAGGGCTGTAAGTTAAGACTTTAATACCTCTCGACCAAAATCCAAAACTTCCTTCCTTTCGAAGCCCTAAACCAACATCCCCCCAAAGCCAACTCAGGACGCAAACCTTAAACCCACATCCTTTCTCGACCCTAAACCCTAAACCCTAAACCCCTAAACCCTAAACCCTCAAAGACCCTTGTTTGAGGCCCCGAACCGCCGATCGGAAACTCGTTCACGTTTGTGAAGCCCATCTACAGTAGGAGCCAAAAAGTTGGAAGATGAGTTTAGGAGCATTATTGCTAGGATCCCTTATGCTTTACCTTGAGGGCATGAGGATACTACTGTAGGCGCCTTCCCAAACCCTACATCCCCTGTAAAGCTCAAGCAGTGCAGGCCGCGTTGTGCGAGAATAACTGGTGGAAAGCCCCGACTTGTCGATTCAAAGGCGGCTTGAGCCGGGTTTCATTAGGTCGGGTCAGCTTAAGCTTCGGTTCACTGTCTTGGGTCTTTGCGGCTTTAGCGCTCCAGGGTTAAGAAGGGCATTGATCCAGGCAATGGCAGTTGCGTTCCTTGCCTGACAGCCACGGTCGGCAGAACTGCCTACAGAGTCGCCGAAATCATGGATAAAGCCGTCGCCCACTCGATGCCCATTGCTTTGGGAGTGACGAGAAGCGTTAAAGATCTACATGACCTTGTGGCGGTTCACCGGACTCTGTTCGTCTTCTGGGAGCCGGATGTCACCTTTCTCCAGCTCCACCCACGCCGCATCTCCTTCCCGAAGCACAACCCGCTCCTGTGGCTGCGCGGCGACTATAGCACCGACTCGCAGGCAGAAGACCCCAGGATCGTGGTCAGCAGTGATCTGATGATGCATGCGCCCGACGTTCGGGAGATGCTGCTCAAGATGAAGTGGCCGCTCAGCGAAGCTGTGACAGCATCTTTTCACCGGTATGCTGGGGTATGAAGAACGAGAACGCGGTGCCAGATAAGGGCCCAAACCAACACTCCTTACACCTCAACCCCAAACCCTAGACCCTAAACTCCAGGCCTTAGATCCTAAACCCTAAACTCCAGGTCCAAGCCCTAAACCCTAAACTCCACCTAAACCAAGTGAACTCAGAGACCTGAGACTTGGAGAAAAGGTCTCTTGCGGATATCGATGCCATGATGCAGGATGGAGTAGAAACGAAGGCCACTGTGACCCCTTGGTTTTTGGCTTTGGGAGATCTTGGAATCCAGGTTGTGGCTTCAAGGGCTTAGAGGGTTTAGGTTTAGGGAGCTTTAGGCTTAGAGGTTTAGGCACCGGGTTTGGGTTTGCTTCAAGTTTTGGGGCTCAAGGTTGCAGCTTGGGTCTAGTCTTGACTGCTCGATCCGGTCTATGCCGGCATTGCAACATCCAAGATTTGCACCTGTGGTGGCCCTGATTGCCGGTGTGTCCTATAGCTGCCTTAAACCCTAACCAAAAATCTCTAAAGCCCTAAACTCGAACCTAAACCCTAAACCCTAAACCCTAAAACCTTATACCCTAAACCCTAAACCCTAAACCCTAAAACCCTAAACCCCGATCCCTGAACCCCAGGAGAGCTTCCATCTGTTTCCCTGTGCTGCTGTTGGGATGCTAAAGCATACTCTAGGGTTTAGGGTTTAGGGTTTAGGGGCCTGTAGAACTAGCAATACTATGTTGGGGGTTCCTCATTATAATCATAGTATATATAATGGGCCCCAAAACCCTAGTCTACTTACTAAGGCCCCTACCCAGACCCCCGAGAGGATCCAAAAAGTAGATCCCTTAATGGCAGTTTCTGTAAAGTACCCTTCGTAGTATAGGGCCCAAATTAGGGGATCTACTTTCTAGAACCTTTCCGAGGGTCTGGGTACATTACAGGGGCTTGTCTCTTCAACTCAACCTTTGGGCTCTAAGCCCAAAGCCTGAACCCTCGCCAACAGAACCCCGAAAGCCCTCAAAGCCAAAAATTCCCGAAGCAGTGCCTTTCCGCACTGGCAGGCCTTGGCTGACGGACAAATCCAACCCAACTTCGGAGAGATGTTGGAGGTCTCCCTTCCGCTTGAGGTTTAGGGTGTAATTCAATATTTCGTAATGTCCTTGTAGTAGAACAACTGCAGATGTGGAGGACCAAACAAGAACTGGCCAGCAGGATCAGTTCCGAAGCCTAGCCACTTCAATATTTCAACAGGGGAAGTTTGCAGTGTACATGCACATACCGAAAAGCAGCACAAGAGCTTGTCGTGAAACTTATTCTTGCCGTACTTGCACCTATAACTATCTGGCGCAGATCCCCATCCCATAGCCGGGACCACAGTAAACAGAAATAAGCGCTCTCGACTCGACCTGAACCCTAATATAGGGGCCAAATAATCACCTATACTATTTTGGGGCTTCCCTGCTAGAATTATAGTATCTTGTACCCCAAAACCCTAAAGAACTTGTTAAGGTCCCTAGATTCCCATTTGGCCACGAAGCTATTCTAGGTCCAGCTGAGTTCTGGGAATTGGATCTCTGGTGCTGCCTGGGAGGGTGCGTGCAACTGGCTTCATACCCACGTGACTGGGCGATAAGTACTTCCTCCTTTCCCTGTGCTCAGAGGCTCTGTAACCCGCTCACACTCGCACAGCCAAGGCATGTTCAGTCTCCCACACTTGCCTTTGGTTAGTAGGGAATGGAAGAATGGCAGTAATAGTAGCTGCTTAGTAGCTATGATTGTACCCCGTTCCTCCATTCCCTACTAACCAAAGGTAAGCTGTAGGATTATTAAGGCCCCTATATTATAGTACCCCTATAGTAACCCTTATAGACCCCTTCCATTCCCTACTAACCAAAGGCAAGCACAGTGAAACCTCCAATGAGAAGGTGGCTCACCAGTTGAGTCTCCTGAGCACCAAAGCCCCCATCTTCATGCACTGCAGCCAGGCACCGCACAGGAGAAAGGCGATGAGCTAAACCTCAAAAGAACCATTAAAGCCTTAAAGGAACCCTTACAGGAACCCTAAACCCTGAACCTCAAAGGAACCCTAAACGCCTCAGAGTCCTGAGAAGGCGATGCGAAGACCTCTTGGGCCCAAGCGCATGGTGCATATGTAGTTGTCTAACTTAGGGCCCCGTTTTCGGCCCCCCCAAAACTAGCACGGCACCCTTAGAAAGTGGACCCAAAAGAGACTCTAATTCAGAGAATTACCCATACAGCCGAATGAAAAGAAGAAGTCCATGTTTGCGTAGTGTTGCGGCTTCAAAGCCGGGTGGCCATTGGGCCCTGCAAGTTTGGGGTCTAGGGGGTTCAGGGTTTAGGGTTCAGGGTTTCGGGTTTACTGTACAGTTTAGGGTTTTGGGAACCTTTTCAAGTCGCTGTAAACAGCCCGGGAGCATTGGCATGTCTGCGATTGCCTGAGCCAAGGAGCACATCTGGAGGACCTGGATTCCTCAGGCCGAGTAACAGAAGCGCCTGACCAATCACGCACACCATTTCTGGGATTCCTCATTCTAGTTGTAGCATAACATATACATAAAAACCGATTCTAATCATTAAGGCCAGCTATATCACTAACGAGGTGTCATCAGGGTCTAAGGTCCTCCTTGGCCATAGGAGCTTATGGCGTTATGGTGTTTTCAAGAAGAATAGACTTTGCATACGCTCGCAATCGCACCATAGGGTTTAGGGTTTCGGCTTGTGGAGCAGGCAGTTTACTTCAACTCCCGTCCCTTCCAGGCTCTGGAGCCTGGCAACTCTCAGGGAAAGCCGACCTTAATACTATGCTGAGACCAGCAGGAATGCTAATAGCTATCCCCAACAGGTAGCTACGCAGAATAAGTCCGAATAAGGGGCCTGGGTTTAGGGTGTAGGGGAAGCCCCGAAGAAGTCCCTGAGCAGGTTTTGGCTTCCTTAACCCCCCTCAACCCCCACAGCCCTAAGCCCTGAGCACCTAGAGCCAGGAAACCTTTAAATAAGGACCCTTCTATTTGGGGTATTATCTTAGGGGTCCTTATAATAAGGATCCTACTACTTAGGGTACTATATTAGGGTGTCAGAAGCCGCGGACCCCTAGTCTTGATGTTCGTGCAGGGTTTTAGCCTCCGATCCCGGAAGTACAGTCGTCTAACCGACTGAGGTAAAAGGGCCCCGCAAAAGCAAAAGCCCTAACCCCTAAATCCGCAACACCCTAGATTAAACCACAAGCCCTGAACACCCGAAAATGCCAAAAGCCCGTGCAATTTTTTGGGTTAAGGGCTGGAGGGTTTAAAGTTTAAAGTGGTGGAGTTTCTGGTTGAAGGTTTTTTTCTTCTGACGGTTTAGAGTTGGATGGTCCTTACTTTATGGTTTGTAGCTTAGGTTGAGGGAAAAGGTCGGGCTTAACGTTCAACGCTACCCTGAGCCTCAACGCCGAAACCCTAAACCCTGAACCATAAACCCTGAATCCTGCACCGTAAACCCTAAACCTCAAACCTCAAGCCCATCTTTCAGGCTGATAGCTGCCTCCACGGCCAGGGCTTGTTTTCTGCCGCGTGGCTTCAGGGTTTAGGATTTTGGGTTTAGGATCTCAGACGTTTGGCAAGCAGAAGCGGGCACACATAGAGATAGGGATGGAGGTTCAGATAGAGATATACCCAAAGATGCAGGTGCGGCTGTTGATGTACAGATATATGGGTGCAGATAGAGAAGAGATAGCGACAACAATTCAGATTTAGACAGAGATAGAGATGCTTGCAAACATATAAATATAGATAGAATTAAATATACAGAACGGATTTAGATGCAGATGAGCATGCATACCAAGCTTCAGAACTAGACAATGATAGTCATGCAGATGCAGATTCACACACACACAGATAGATAAGCAGATAAATATTTGTAAATGCATATACAGATATGGATATAGATATAGGTGTAGTAGGTGTAAGCATACAAAACATAGATGTACAGATATTCAGATCTATATACAGATACAGATAGATAGATAGATGGATAGATGGATAGATGGATAAATGTACAGAAAGATAAGTAGACGGGTAGATAGATATAACATGTATATAGATACGGGTTCTTGAATTCCCCACCTACTCTTAAATTGAAACATGAGCAGCTGGTCTCCAATCTTCAGGCTTTGGTTTGGAGTTTAGGACATTGACTTTGGAGTGTAGGATTACAGGGGCGTCGACCTTAGGGAGTTACAGGTTTTTCAGAGGCTTAGGCTTCTTTTTGCTTTAGGCTTTGGATTGTAGGGCTTCAAGTCTGGAGTTTCATGACAGTGCTCATTAGATAAAGAGTTGGGTTTTTTTTTGTTTAGGGGGGAGGTTTGCCGCAGTTTGGGGTTTACCGTAACCTCAAGTGCATGCTGGTTTAGGTGAGGCTAGAGCTTTTACAGTTTCCCCAGTCAGTCAAGTACGCCTGATCCTCAAGCCTCAGCTTACTCCAAAATATCGCAATCCCCGACCTCGAAGCTCCCATAAACCCTTACACCGAAGACTTCCAGGTTGCGGACACCCAGTGGCTGGAGAGACGGCAGGCGCCTTCCGCAGTTTTCGCTGCTGTCGTTGTCACGGTTCCTTGTAGTGAGATCACAGTATATCATAGTATATAATAGTATATTCTGGTAGACTATAGTTTATGATAGTATAGTATAGTATACAATAGTATATAATCGTATGTTTTGGTAGATTTTTGATATGATAGTATTGTATAGTATATAATAGCATATTTTGGTAGATTGTAGTATATGATAGTATAGTATAGTATATTATTAGTACATGATAGTATATTATGGTAAATGATAGTACATTATAGTATATGATAGTATATTATGGTATATGACTGTATATGATAGTACATGACAGTATATTATGGTATATGATAGCATATTATGGTTGGGATATCTCAGGTATCTTCTAGGATGCAGGGTTTGGATGCATGAAGCTTGGGTGTCGGTTGTGGCAGTTCTACTGAACCACGACTGCTGGTATACGCAATGGCAATGGCTGTTGCTATCGCGACGGCGGCCGCTATCTGTTTGCTGCTGAATCTGTCTATTTCTTCTCACTTTCCTGCCAAGTCTTCCAACACAGACCTTGTTTCCTGTAATTCTACCAAGGGAGGCACGGGCCCCCGCGGCAATGCTGACGGTAGCATCCACGTAAGAGGAACACGTTCTGACATAGTCAGTCCCTTCAACATTCGTTGTGTCGCTGGTTGGTTTTGCACCCCTCCAAACCCCAGCATGGGAGAACCCTGAGACCTAAACCCCGTAGATCCTAAGCCCTGAACCCTAAACGCCGCAAAACCCTACACCCTAAACCCTACACCCTTAGCGACCTAGAGAAATGGATGACGATGGAGGTGTTGATATGGGATAATTTTCAGTTTTCCTTAATGTTGAATCTAGAGCCCTCATTGTAGATCATCCAAACCCCAAACAACCCCAAACCCGAAACCCTAAACCCTGAACCCGAAACCCTAAACCTTAAACCCTAAACCCCAAACCCGAAACCCTAAACCCTGAACCCTATACCGTGCAGGTGGGTGCTGTTTGCCGACCCTGTGAGCCTGGGTACACGTCGGTGCATCTTGGCGCACCGTTGTGGCTACTGTAGAAACTATTCTTTAGGGTTGCTTACTATATAACTATGTAATGTAGGAACCTAATTAAGGAACCATGGGCCTGTATTATTAGGGTTCCTTATATGAGCCCTAATATATTGGGGGTAAAAAGCCAGGTTTCTTAATCAGGTTCCTACAATATGAAGGAGCCCCAAACCCTATTCTACTTATTAAGGCCCCTACATTACGGATTGGGTTTTTTTTGCTTTAGAGCGCAGGGTTTAGGGGTTCCTGTTTAGGCGATTTAAGTGGCTGAGGCTATGACCATGGTGACTACTATGATGACAACTTTTGCTTTGACGATAACTGGAATAATAGTAATAGGTAAGCATAGTACTACGGTTGATGATATAAATCCTGCATTACCCATATCAACAGTAGTACTGGTACCATTGCCAGTACCGCTCCGACTCCGCGAGCTTGTGCCAAGGATGGTCACGGACGAAACCGGCTTGGACACGGCAGTTTGTCGTCGCAGGGTTGCAGTGCAGAGAGCTGTCGGTGTGAGGAGTACGGTTTAGGGACGGGAGATACTGGGCTTCAAGAGTTTGAGGGGTGTTGGGATCGGGGTGTTGCGGGTGCTGAAGATTGAGAATCTGATTAAGGGTGACGCAGGTCAGCCACTCAAGCAAATTCAGGACACGAAGCCCTAAATGCCTAAGCTCTAACCGAAAACTCAAGATGTCAAGCATCGTGAAGCCAAAGCCCTGTCTCTTTGGACTCAGGAGGAGGCACAAAGGGCCTCCAGTGGCAGATTGCAGCTGAAGCTTATGTGAGGAATTCAAGGTGTTGCTTTGGGCGCTGTCATGCACGGAAGATACGAAAAACACCAAACTTGGGAGAAAACTGAGCCCCTGAGTTAAAAGCTCCATTGGCCCCGGCTTCGCCAAACCGGATGCAACCGGCGCACCCCGAGCTCAGAGTTTCAGTTTCGTGTCGCAGGTCATGCCCCAGTTCGCTCGTGGTCTTGTCGAAAAGCCCCATACCGCAAAAATCTGAAATCGTGTCTGTGGAAGGAGGTTGTCTCAATCGCCAAGCCCTCTCATACATCTCTTGCTTACTTGCCTATTCGCTTCTAGCCTTCAACCCCAAACCGTCCTAAACCCTACAACCCACCACCCTAAACTCCCAAGCCCCAAAACACCCTAAACCCAAACGCCCCAAACCCTAGGCCTATTTCAGAATGAGGTCTCTGCAGTCCGGGCCGCAAGCAGTCCTCCTTCTCAGCGCAGTCCTGCGCCGAATGCCCGGCCGGGACCATCTCGCAGAGTTTCGGACAGACGGAGTGCACCAAATGCCCAATAGGTGCCACGGCTTGGTCTAGACCGGGCTTACGCGGTTTAGGGTTTGGGGAGTGGGGGGGGGGGCTGTTTGAGGGCTTTGAGGTTTTGGGATTCTTGGATGTTGAGGTTTTGCAGCCGTCGGGTTTTGGGGCTCTTGGGGGAGGTCTGAGACTTTTCGGAAATCGGGTTTGAGGTTGGGGATAAGGTCGGCGACAGCTCTGACCTGCAGTTGTGTTTTTTAAGCAAGAAGTAAGCCTTCAGGCCCCGCTTGAAGTTGCACTTGCGAGGTAGGGCTACAGATGGATGCAAGTGAAAGCCTACTACGACGACGACTACTACTACCACAACTACCACAACTACCACTACTACTACTACTACTACTACTGCTACTACTACTACTACTACTACTACTACTACTACTACTACTACTACCACTACTACTACTACTCCTCCTCCTCCTCCTGCTGCTGCTGCTGCTGCTACTGCCATTGCTACTGCTACTGCCACTGCTACTGCTACTACTACTGCTACTACTACTGCTCGTCCTCCTACGCGCTGCTTCTGCTGCTGCTGCTGCTGCTGCTGCTAGAACGAGTACTAGCACTGGTGCTCGCACTCGCACTCCCACTGGCAGTGGCACCGGCACCGGCACCGGCATGGCACCACCACCACCACCACCACCACCACCACCACCACCACCACCACCACCACCACGACTACTACTACTACTACTACTACTACTACTACTGCTACTGCTACTGCTACTGCTACTGCTACTACGACGACGACGACGACCACGACCATTATCAATCACATTTTTGTAAATAATATAGCAATAGTAGCCGAAGTGCGAGTAATTGTGATAATAGGACTTCTGTGGTGCTAGTGGGCATAAGCCTCGAAGCTGTAATTCCCTTGGCCTGACAACAACTTTTCGATAGAGGACCTTAATAATTTTGAAAGGAGGGTATTGGGAGGGAAGAGAACTCAAAGGGACCATAAGGGAATATTGCTTTTTCGTATAGTATGGGGCAGCATAACGATCATGATGGGCTACCATAAGCAGAAAGTAAGTCAGGTCCTCACATATGCCCAGGGCCTGCCAGCCATGATGTGTGCGCTATGCTCGGACCAAAGGATTCTGCTCTTCTGGGTATCAGGGCGCCCGATGTTCTGAACCTACCAGCTCTGGATTGCCATTTCTCTCCGAACCCTCATCTTACCTTTGGTTAGTAGGGAATGGAGCAATGGGGTACAACTATAACTGGTATTACTACCATTCTTCCATTCCCTACTAACCAAAGGTAAGTCATAGCTCAACAGCAGCCTTGCCCCTGTCGCAGGTTCTTTCCAGAACGGGACTGGCAGAAGCGAGTGCATCCAATGCCCAGAGACTAGGCTTTGGAGTACCATTTTTTGGGTCCCTTTTAGGGATCTATAGGGTTTCCATAAGGGTACTATGAATGGGCTGTGGAGTAATTCCCATACTTTAATGCTTTTTCTAGGACCTGTTACTTAAAGGGAACCAGTATGAAGTAGAAGTCTATACTTTTTTCTTGCTGGTTACTTCAAAGCCCAGGAGAACATGGACACGAGCATCAAGGGCGCGACGACGGAGGACGCCTGCATCTGCAGTGACAATACGCCCCTAGCCTGTCTTGGCCAGATGCTGTGTTTTGATTTTGCCCCCTCCCGCAGACTGGGGTTCCGAAACCCTAAACCCCCGAACCCTAAACCCTAAGCCTTAAGCCCCTAAACCCTAACCCCTAAACCCCCGAACCCTAAACCCTAAGCCTTAAATCCTTCTTAACTTCCAGAGGAGAGGCTCTCGGAATTGAAGGGACAGAGGCTCACAGGCCTGTTAAGCCCGGAAAGCTCTGAAGTGGAAGGAACCCGGTGGCCGATTTAAGCTCAACACCGGTTAAATGTAAGCACCTCCGCGATTGCACGAAGATTCCAGGCGATCGGTTTAAGCGGAGGCGATATGGCATCATCATAGCCCTGAAAAAACCTTAAGCGTTCATCCGCCGCCTGGGCTTACAACTCCTCGTCCTCCTCCTTTGTCTCCTCCTCCACCTCATCCTGCTACCCTTATCGTCGTCAACATACAGCAGCAACAGCACCGTCGGTACGAGCACCAGAACCTTCAAATCAGCTTCGTCACCATGGTCATCGTAGTCCACTGCAAGTGTCACCATCAGCAGCTTCTTCTTTTCTCCATCGGCATTGCATGACGGCAATCTGAGCCTGCTTTCCAGGTACTGGCAGTGGGAGCAGCAGAGATGCATCGGATGCCCCGCCGCACCCTGGCTTTAATGTGCAAGGCCTTGTGATGGGGTGCTCTTAAAAATGGTACCAGTTTGTGACGGTTCTGCTTTTATTTATCAGTTCGACGGCTGAAGCGGAAACCTCTTTGCCTCCATGCAGGCCTCTAGGACCCTAGACATCAAACCCCAACAAGGACTTCATCTGCAACGGTAGCTTTATGCCACCATTGCAAAGAGCGGGAACGTGGGCAGAAGCGCTTGAAGGCCGGGCTCAGGGTTCTTTGGTATTATACTATTATAGTATTTAAGTAATATAGTATCATGGCCTTGTGGTATTATACTGTTATAGTATTTAAGTAATATAGTATTATGGCCTTGTGGGTATTATATTGGTATAGTATTATACCGGCTTTAGGCTTTGAGTGTGAGGATCTTCAATTCCAAGATTCCCACTGGGGTCTTGCATGAATGGGCCCTCCCCTTTTCTGCTCTGTCTCTGATCTCTTATCCCGAGGTGGCTGTCTTCCAGTCACCAGCCTTTGCACCTAAACCCTAAACCCTAAACCTTAAACCCTAAACCCTAAACCCTAAACCCTAAACCCATTCGAACGAAAACCGTGAGGTTGTACCACTCACCCCAAGCGCTAACATCCTGAGACCCTCAGCACCATAACCCTAAGCCCCCCTAAACCCTAAACCCAAGCACTAAAGCCCTGAACCCTCAACCCTAACTAAAGTTCCAAAGCCTAAACCCTCAACCCTCAACCCTCAACCCTAAACCCGCAACCCTAAACCCTCAACCCGCAACCCTAAACCCTAAACCCTCAACCCTCAACCCTAAACCCCAAACCCTTTGGGGAGGAGGGGGCTACTCGATCTACTACTGCCGGGATGTGCTGCGCTGTCCCGAAGCACTTCCGGGCTCTTGTGCCACGGGTCGAACAGGCGGGAAACCCTTGGATTCGGGGTTTCGGGGTGCTGGTGTTTAGGGGAGCAATATAGGGGCTTCAATTGGTGCCAGTATATTGTAACCATTCGGTTTTGGGGCTGGCGTTTAGGTGAGTAGCAACTGCTCTTGATGTGAGGAGTTGGGGTTCGAGTCGTAGGAAGACCGGGTGCTAGGGCGGGGCTAGAATTTGGGGCTTCGGGCCTTCTGGGTGCATCTTGGATTCCTTACCCTTCACTCCCCGACGCGCAGGTCGTGCCTGTGCGGACTGCTTCAAGGGCTTTGCTGCAGCGGCAGATGGGAGCTGCCAGCCATGCGACGCACTGCAGCTCTGGCCCTTCATCCTCATCCCCCTCGTGGTGATCGCAGTTGTGCCGCTCCTTGTTTTTGCAGGCATTGTCCTGAGCAGAGCGCGGAAGGTGGCGATCAGTGTCTTCGTGGTTTGCCTCGTCTTCGGCCAGTTGGTGGTTTGTCTGCAGTCGCTTGAGGCACAGCTGCTAAGCAACACCTTTCCCCCCTATAGACGGCTCCCGGTCTCAGAAGCACCCACGAATGTTGCTAGATTGCTGGAAACCAGTGGTAGGTGTGAGTCAACAGACCCCTCCCCCTCATGCCCTTGGGTCGTTCTGGAGGCTATCTATCAGTTCGACATTCTTTGGGTGGATCCTGCGAAGGCCATCCTTCAGTCGCTTTCCATCTTCAGCTTCGACATTGAGTTCTCCTGCGTGCTTCCTCCACGGAACCACTTGATGGAGTACACCATGCAGCTTTTGGCCTACCCGGTAGTGCTACTTGGAACCTTCCTTGTCTGGTCCATGGCCAGATTCACACGGAGGCGGGTGAGCTTCACTTACTTCGTAAACTTCCACGGGATCATCCTGATTGCCCTCTTGACTGCCATGTCTCTCAGCGTCCTCCGACCGTTTCAGTGTCGGGAGAACCCCAATGGCACATCCACGATTGTGACCAAGACAGATGTTATCTGCTGGACCACCGGAGAGCATATAGCTCTGATTCTCCTGGCCTGTGTTGGTATTCTGGCCTACCCGGTTGCAATCCTTGCTGCAATCAGCTTTCTCACCTGGAAGTACCCGATCTGGCTTCGATCATCCAGTGGCCTGGAGGTGCTGGAAAGGTATAGGTTCCTCTTTGGCCGTTTCCGACCCGAACGCTACTACTACGGGCTCATGCTCTCCTTTCACAACCTTGTGGTGGCACTCATCCCGGCAACTTTGGTGTCCGTGCCCGCTCTGCAAGTGGGCATCATGGGCATCGTCGTCTGTGTCAAGCTGACCACCCAGAGCCTGCTCTGGCCCTGGCGAGTGGATGTGGCCAACTACAACGACATGGTGCTCTCTGCCGGCCTGCTGATGCTGCTGCTTTTGGCATCCCCTTTGCTGAATCTCAATGAACAGAAGGCCATGGAGTTTGTAGCGGTCCTCCTGGCTTGCGTAATGTTCCTTCTGCCTATTGCAGCACTTCTCGCTGCATCGGCGGCAGTTTGCTTTCGGCTTCGTCCACAAAGCAAGTACTCCATGTTTCTATGCCACCACAAGGCGGGTGCAGGGGCTCTGTGCCGCTTCATCAAGCTGATCGTTCACAAGTATGGCCGCATGAACATCTTCCTGGACTCCGACGAGCTTGACGACCTCTCTCGCATCTTCGAGATCGTCAGTTCCGACACCCGCTGCCTCGTGGCCGTGCTCACGCCCGATTTGCTGCAGCGCACCTTGCTGCCATCTAGTTCTCGAAGCCTCCATCTCTGTTTTCATTTTCTCTCTTTTGCCCCACTTAGTCCTCTCCGGGCGCCAGGCATGTGGTGTGCAGGGGAGATGACGAGTGCGCGGAAGAGCGGCATCCCCATCATCCCGCTCTACTGCGATGGCTTCGCCTTCCCGGATGCAGACTCTTGGTTCTTGTTAAGGATATTATTTTAAGTTACCATAAATAGGGGTCTATAGCAAAAAGTATTAAATAATTCTTGTTAAGGAACTAAGTGTAAGCTACCACAATAGGGGTCTACGGTAAATAATTCTTGTCAAGGAACTTAATTTAAGCTACCATAATAGGGATCTATCGTAAATAATATGGTTTCCTTACCATGGTATCTTAAACTAAATCCCTCAACAAGAACCAAGGACTGCATCAACAAGATCGAGTCCGTGTGGACTGAGGAGCAGCAATACACTTTGACGAGCCACGGAATTTCCATGGAAGACATCAAGGCAATCCTTCAAGGGTTCCTATAAGGTCTTTTTTTTAAAGGGCATTCCTTTAAGGGTTCCTATAGGTTTCTTTTTAAAGGGAACTCCTTTAAGGGTTCCTATAAGGGTTTTTCAAAGGGAACTCCTTTAAGGGTTCCTATAAGGGTTTTTTAAAGGAACTCTTTTAAGGGTTCCTATAAGGTCTTTTTCTTAAAGGGCATTCCTTTAAGGTTTCTTTTTAAAGGGAACTCCTTTAAGGGTTCCTATAAGGTCTTTTTCTTAAATGGCATTCCTTTAAGGGTTCCTATAGGTTTCTTTTTAAAGGGAACTCCTTTAAGGGTTCCTATAAGGGATTTTTAAAGGGAGCTCTTTTAAGGGTTCCTATCAGTTTTTTTAAAGGGAACTCCTTTAAGGGTTCCTATTAGGGTTCTTGAAAGGGATCTATACGGGTTCCTTTAGGGGATCTCTAAGGGTTCTATAGGGGGCAGCCTCGAAGTAGGACGTCCACCGATGCAGTCGTGTAAGGCTTTCCTAAACTCCTGAACTAAACAATTCTGGACATGGAGCCACAGTACTCGATACTGGAGCAGTGGTGGCACGTACAGTCATTTTAGTCTAGTAGAGGAACCCCAAACCGTCAAGCAGCGCGAAACCACACAGATTGACCTTCGAACCCTGCATTGCATCGAACACAAAACCTGCGAACTCCTCAACCCAACTTTGCACCGCAGTTCTCACAGTCTGAATCCTTCCACAGCCTACCGCGATACCAGAAATCCAAGCGCCCTCAACCGAACCCTGAATCCTAAAACCCTACAGCTCTGAAGCCCTAAAACCCTAAACCCCACACCCGAAACCTGTACCCGAAGCCCTGAGCCCCATCGTAGGCCGCCTACATCCACATCCGCACCCTCACCTTCGTAACGCTGAAGCGATCGGATCGCCTCGAGGAGCTTGCCAAGTAGAACCTCCCCTTTCCGGGTGCTATAGGGTTCTATAATCGGGTCTCCTTAAAAGGACGGTACCATAAAGGTCCGATGGTAGTGTCTCGTTGAGGGCTTTAGGGTTTTGGTCCCTTCAAGACTCTGGGGTTTAGGGTCCCTTTAAGGTTGGGTTTAGGGTTTGAGGGTTCGTTCAAGAGTAAGGGGAGCGAGTTTAGTATAAACGCTTCGCGGCATCCGCCTCGGTCAGCAGTAACAGCAAGCCGCAGTGAGCAGGAGCAGCTGAGCAGTGGAAGCTATTTGGATTCTGCTACTGCTCCTTCGTCCGCTCCGCATCCCCAGAACGGAACAGAAAGCCGGGCCGCCCCGAACGAACCCTAGTCCGAAAGGAGCAGGAGCGGGCTGTTCTCCGGTTGATGTCGGCTGTCTCACCAGGCACCGGAGAGGATGCTTGCCATAAGGGGCCTAAATAATTACCCATACTATTTTGGGTCTCCTTGTCATAATTATAGTCGTAGAATATCCCCCCTATTCTAGTAATTAAGGGCCTTATAGTACTATTCTAGTTATTAAGGGCCTTATAGTACTCAAAGTATCCAGGATTTGGAACCCAGGATTTGGATTTCTTCGGGCCGGGGTTATGGATGTAGGGTTTAGGGTCCATCTGGGGGGTTCTCAAAATTATGGTCCTTTTTGGGGTCCCTATTATAATACGGCACCTATTATGTAGGGAACCCAAAAAAGAGGGACCGTAATTTTTACAACCACGCATCTGTATCGGTTTGGGATTTAGGAGACGACGCTCGAAGCCTAGGGTTAACAAGCCAGGGTTTTCGGATGGTCTAGGGCTTCGAAGGCCACTAGGACTAGGCCCAAATCCTAAACCCTCAGCCCTAAAACCTTCAAGCCCCAAGCCATAAGAAGTCATCTTCGGAGCCCTCATAGAGGATCATGGGACTTAGTAACTAGGGTTATAATTCAGGTAACTATACTTATAATTACTAATAACCCCCATTGAGGTACTTATACAGTAACCCATACCTACTAAGTCCCATGATCCTCCAAGTAGACCCTAAGCCCTAAACCCTATAGATCCCTTTAAGATACCCTATAGATCCCTTTAAGGAGCCCTTAAAGGAACCCTTACTAAGTCCCATGATCCTCCAAGCTTTGGAGGCAGCGCCAACCTGGAAGTTGCACCCCAAGGATCCATCTCCAATGCGCGGATTCTCGTTTGCTCCTCCGAGGCAGAGACGGGAACTTCGTTATTGGGTTTAGGGTTTAGGGGTTTTGGGGGTTTAGGGTTTAGGGGTTTAGGAGGGTTTAGGGTTTCGGGTTTAGGGGTTTAGGGTTTAGAGTTTAGGGTTTTGGGTGCGGCTCTATGCTTGAAATGTGGTTTAAAGGCATGCTTTCGAAAAATGGTTTCCGTTGTTTGGTCCCTCTGTCACCCTCTCCCCTTCGCTGTCCCTCTAGTCTAGGAGGCCTTACTGTTGGATGTTATGTTGTAGGTTTTTCACAGGCCTTATGCGGCTTCATGCATTGCTTCCTCTGGTTCCCCGGAGGTGGAGCCGGAGTTTGTGTCCACCAGACTCCTCCTGCAGCAAATGATCCAAAGGCGCTCCAGGGTGAGGTTTAGGGATCAAGTTGGGGCTTTGTGGGGCTTTGTGGGCTTCTTTCTTCGAAGACGCAGGCTGCGCACTTTGGAGTAAAGGGCGGCCGCTGCTCAACACTCTAAGCGTCCCCATCCCCGAAACCTTTAAACTCTTAAACCCTAACCATCCTAAGCCCTAAACTGGCTTGCACCCAGCCCCTAAACTTCTAAACCCCAAGCCGTGGCTGTGTTCGAAGGCATTTGCAGATTGCGGTCTTCAGCGTTCAGTGCCCAGCAGATATCCCGGCTGCACACAAGGCAGCCTCCGTGGTGGTGTTGCTGAGTCTTGTCTGATCTTTGAGACCTGCCCTACACCCCAAACCATTGAAACCCCCCCGAATCGAGTAGAGTTTAGAGCTCACCCCTAGCTTTGAACGTCTGCCCCTAAACCTGACCTCAAAACCCCGATAAGTCGCTTGAACCTACCCCTGGACCCTTCCACCCGAAGCCGAATCTTCCCTACTTGGAGGATCCGGGGACTTAGTAAGTATGGTTATAAGTACCTATAATTGGGGTTATAAGTAATTACAAGTATAGTTACCTTAATTATAACCCTAGTTACTAAGTCGCATGATCCTCTAAGTATATGTCTCCCCTACATCTGAGGAGTCGGGGCGCTCTCCAAGACGCAACCTTTGCGCAGCTGGCGCTCACCATCCGCCTCTTGCCATGGGCTTTCTTACCTTTGGTTAGTAGGGAATGGAGGAATGGGGTACAATTATACCTACTATTACTACCATTCTTCCATTCCCTACTAACCAAAGGTATGCTTTCTGAAGGTTTGGGAGTTGGTCCTTTGACTAGGATACAGTTTTTTTCCAGGGCAGGGTTGACATTCAGCTTCCCTATAAGGAGTGCTTTGGCGTTTTTGGGGCTTCAGGGGTTTGGGTTCATAAGCTTACTTAGAGGATCATGGGACTTAGTAACTAGGGTTATAACTAAGCTAGCTATACTTATAATTCCTTATAACCCCAATTAAGGTACTTATAACCATACTTACTAAGTCCCATGATCCTCCAAGTAGACCCTAAACCCTAAACCCTATAGATCCTTTCAGGTACCCTATAGATCCCTTTAAGGAGCCCTTAAAGGAACCTTACTGAGTCCCATGAACCTCCAAGTAGAGAAGAGCTGCTCCTGCTGGAAGGTTCTGGAGGGGACTCGGGGCTCACAAAAGGGCTTTACTTTACTACAGCATGTGGGTGGCTGTCAAAATTATGGTCCCTTTTTGGGTACCCTAGATAATCTGTGCCGTACTATATTAGGGACCGAAAAAGGAACCATAATTTTGACAACCACCCATATTCGATTAGCATGTCCTAGCCTTCGTGTTGAGGGTTGGGTCTTCACGGCGTGAGCTTCCGCGCTTTGTGGCAGTTGTCTCAAGGATGTGGGGATGTTGGGTCTCAAACCCGCAACCCTCAAGTGTAAGCCCTAAACCCAAAACTCTGTTCCGGAAGGGATCCAGCAATCCCGCGAAACCTTAAACCCTAAACCCTCATGTGCCTGGCCTAGATCCTAAACCCTAGACTGTGGGAGGAAAAGAAGGGATCGAGTTCGTGCCCGTGAACGATGGCTCCTTCCAGTTCCCTTCGCCAGAGTTCTACCGAAAGGTGCCGGGAATTCATGGGTTTAGGGTTTAGGGGAGATATTCTTTGAGTGCTTGAAGGGCTGACGGGGTTAATGCTGGAACAGTGTTGTGGCCCACATAAGCAGCATTGGTAGTGACGGGCAAGCACTTCTGATGCGAGGCTCCCGCTGTGGGGCGGTGCATGTTTTGCGCCCGCGTGCTATTATTTACGGAGGATGAGTGCAGTATCCGTGCAATGTTTTGTACGCGTGCAATATCCGTGCAACGTTTTTTCGGAGAGCCGGATTTTCGAAAACGTACTTGGGGGAATGTATCTTCGGCGCCCACCTGAATCGCGCCAGTCTGCGGGGGGAAGCATAAGTGCCGTGCTCCTTTAACGCACCAGCACCTGGCTTAACGCATTCTGTCTGCCCTCCAGCGGCAATGTAGGAACCTGATTAAGAAACCCTGGGCCCATAACCCATCATAACCCCAAAATAGTAGGATTCAAAAACGGAACCCTGACAACGGCCAGCCCAACGCCTAACTAACAAAGAGGGGAGGGCCCTGTAGATCATCATAGGAGGCCAAGAGGGGTTTTAGCCTATGGGGATTTAGTAGGGATTAGGGTTCCCATAATAGGGTTCATATGAAGGAATTCCTACCCCAAGAATCTCAAACCCCTCTTTTGGCCTCCCATCAGATCAGTGCGTCGGAATTCATTTCGTGGAGAATCGACCCCGAGAGGCTTCCATTTTGCATTTCAATGCTTCGGACCCCCCTCGATTCTGCATTTATTAAGTTTAGGGTTTAGGTTTTAGGTTTTCGGGTTTAGGGTTTAATTTATGTTGGGGTAGTCAAGATGAACTGCAGGGAAGACCTA